AGGGGTTTTTAGGGTTTGGGTTTAGGGTTTAGGGTTTAGGGTTTTAGGGTTTAGGGTTTAGGGGGTTTAGGGTTTAGGGTTTAGGGTTTAGGGGTTTAGGGTTTTAGGGTTTAGGGTTTAGCCCCTGGCTACCCTTGTTGGAGATGTTTTAAGGGCTCCAGCGCATGCCCGCCCCCACCGCCCCCACTCCCTCAGCCCATTGCCCACCCCTGCCACGTCTCAGGGCCACTGGCTACCCTTCTGGCCACCTCCCCCCCCACGTTTGAGGGCCTTCCCCTGCCACGTTTCAGGGCCCCCACTCCCCCCCGCGAGCCCATTGCCCACCGCCCTCCTCCCCCTGCCACGTTTCAGGGCCACTGGCTACCCTTCTTTGAGATGCTTTAAGGGGCTCCAGCGCATGCCCGCCCCCACTGCCCCCACCGCCCCCACCGCCCCCACCGCCCACCGCCCACCTCCCCCCGCCATGTTTGAGGGCCTTCCCCCGCCACGTTTCAGGGCACCCACCCACTCCCCCCAGCGACCCCCCGGCGAGCCCGCCCATAGGGTTTAGGGTTTAGGGTTTAGGGTTTAGGGTTTAGGGTTTAGGGTTTAGGGTTTAGGGTTTAGGGTTTAGGGTTTAGGGTTTAGGGTTTAGGGCTCCCCCTGCCACGTTTCAGGGCCACTGGCTACCCTGCTTTGAGATGTTTTAAGGGGCTCCAGCGCATGCCCGCGCCCCCACCGCCCCCACTCCCCCCAGCGAGCCCATTGCCCAGCGCCCATGCACCTCCCTCTGCCACGTTTCAGGGCGCCCATTGCCCACCGCCCACCTCCCCCTGCCACGTTTCAGGGCCACTGGATACCCTTCTTTGAGATGTTTAAAGGGGCTCCAGCGCATGCCCGCCCCCACCGCCCCCACCCCCACCGCCCCCACCGCCCCCACCGCCCCCACTGCCCCCACCGCCCCCACCGCCCCCACCGCCCCCACCGCCCCCACCGCCCCCACCGCCCACCTCCCCCCGCCGTTTGAGGGCCTTCCCCCGCCACGTTTCAGGGCCCCCACTCCCCCCAGCGAGCGACCCCCCAGCGAGCCGAGCCCATAGGGTTTAGGGTTTAGGGTTTAGGGTTTCGGGTTTAGGGTTTAGGGTTTAGGGTATAGGGTATAGGGTTTAGGGTTTAGGGTTTAGGGTTTAGGGTTTAGGGTTTAGGGCTCCCCCTGCCACGTTTCAGGGCCGGTTTTTTTTTGGTTTAGGGTTCAGGGTTTAGGGTTAGGGTTTAGGGTTTAGGGTTTTAGGGCTCCCCCTGCCACGTTTCAGGGCCACTGGCTACCCTTCTTTGAGATGTTTTAAGGGGCTCCAGCGCATGCCCGCCCCCACCGCCCCCACCGCCCCCACCGCCCCCACTCCCCCCAGCGAGCCCATTCCCCAGCGCCCACCTCCCCCTGCCACGTTTCAGGGCCACTGGCTACCCTTCTTTGAGATGTTTTAAGGGGCTCCAGCGCATGCCCGCCCCCACCGCCCCCAAGCGACTCCCCCCAGCGAGCCTACCGCCCACCGACCACCTCCCCCCACCACGTTTCAGGGCCTTCCCCCGCCACGTTTAGGGCCCGCACTCCCCCAGCGAGCCCATTGCCCACCGCCCACCTCCCCCTGCCACGTTTCAGGGCCACTGGCTACCCTTTTCTGAAATGTTTTAAGGGGCTCCAGCGCATGCCTGCCCACCACCCCCACCGCCCACCTCCCCCCACCACGTTTGATCGAGGCCCCACTCCCCCCAAGCGACCCACCGCCCACCGACCGCCACGTTTGAGGGCACGTTTCAGGACCCCCACTCCCCCCAGCGAGCCCATTGCCCACCGCCCACCTCCCACTGCCACGTTTGAGGGTTACTGGCTACCTCTTTTTGAGATGTTTTAAGGGGCTCCAGCGCACCGCCCCCACCGCCCCCACCGCCCCCACCGCCCCCACCGCCCCAAGCGCCCCCACCGCCCCCACCCCGCCCCCACCGCCCCCACCGCCCCCCCGCCCCCCACCGCCCCACCGCCCCCCCGCCCCACCGCCCCCACCCCCCGCCCCACCGCCCACCGCCCACCTCCCCCCGCCACGTTAGCGACCCCCCGGCGAGCCCCGCCCATAGGGTTTAGGGTTTAGGGTTTGGGGTTTAGGGTTTAGGGTTTTTTTTTGGTTTAGGGTTTAGGGTTTAGGGTTTCGGGTTTAGGGTTTAGGGTTTAGGGTTTAGGGTTTAGGGTTTAGGGTTTAGGGTTTAGGGTTTAGGGTTTAGGGTTTAGGGTTTAGGGTTTAGGGGGTCCCCCTGCCACGTTTCAGGGCCACTGGCTACCCTTCTTTGAGATGTTTTAAGGGGCTCCCCCCCGAGCCCATTGCCCAGGGGGAGGTGCCACGTTTCAGGGCCACTGGCTACCTTTTTTGAGATGTTTTAAGCGGCTCCAGCGCACGCCCGCCCCCACCGCCCCCAGCGCCCCCAGCGCCCCCACCGCCCCCACCGCCCCCACTCCCTCCAGCGAGCCCACCGCCCACCGACCACCTCCCCCCACCACGTTTCAGGGCCTTCCCCCCGCCACGTTTCAGGGCCCCCCACTCCCCCCATTGCCCACCGCCCACCTCCCCCTGCCACGTTTGAGGGCCACTGGCTACCTCTTTTTGAGATGTTTTAAGGGGCTCCAGCGCATGCCCGCCCCCACCGCCCCCACCGCCCCCACCGCCCCCACCGCCCCCACCACCCACCGCCCACCTCCCCCCGCCACGTTTGAGGGCCTTCCCCCGCCACGTTTCAGGGCCCCCACTCCCCCCAGCGACCCCCCGGCGAGCCCCGCCCATAGGGTTTAGGGTTTAGGGTTTAGGGTTTAGGGTTTAGGGTTTAGGGTTTAGGGTTTAGGGTTTAGGGTTTAGGGTTTAGGGTTTAGGGTTTCTTTTTGGTTTAGGGTTTAGGGTTTAGGGTTTAGGGTTTAGGGTTTAGGGTTTAGGGTTTAGGGTTTAGGGTTTAGGGTTTAGGGTTTAGGGTTTAGGGTTTAGGGTTTAGGGTTTAGGGTTTAGGGTTTAGGGTTTAGGGTTTAGGGTTTAGGGTTTAGGGTTTAGGGTTTTAGGGTTTAGGGTTTAGGGTTTAGGGTTGAGGGTTTAGGGTTTAGGGTTTAGGGGGTCCCCCTGCCACGTTTCAGGGCCACTGGCTACCCTTCTTTGAGATGTTTTCAGGGGCTCCAGCGCATGCCCGCCCCCACCGCCCCCACCGCCCCCACCGCCCCCACCGCCCCCACCGCCCCCACCGCCCCCACTCCCCCCAGCGAGCCCCTTGCCCAGCGCCCACCTCCCCCTGCCACGTTTGAGGGCCACTGGCTACCTTTCTTTGAGCTGTTTTAAGCGGCTCCAGCGCATGCCCGCCCCCACCGCCCCCAGCGCCCCCACCGCCCCCACCGCCCCCACCGCCCCCACCGCCCACCGCCCACCTCCCCCCGCCACGTTTGAGGGCCTTCCCCCGCCACGTTTCAGGGCCCCCACTCCCGCTAGAAGCCCGAGCTGGAACCCAGGGCTTGCCTAGTCTAGTCGCAGATTTGCGATATGGGGTCCTGATTTCAGCTCCACATGCGCAAACACCATGGGACGAGATGAGGGGACCTGGCGACATCCTGCACGTCCTTCTCTTCGGGGGTCGGCGGCACTGGCGGCAGCCATTAAATATACATATACATATACATGCACTAAAAACGGTCTCAGGGCGCATTGGGGTAGGACAATAAGGCGTCTATTTGGGGCGCACGTTGCTTACGCAGATGTCGCAATAGACAGTGTTTGGTCTGTCGCGGGTATGTAACGCACCTGTAACGGGGTATGTCGCGCGCCGGGAAGCATGAACACAGATTTTCGGGAATTTCGGGGTTTCAGGCTTCGGGGGTGTCTTGCCTAAAGCCTGGAGAGTCCCCCTGTTGAGGACTGAGTGGGGTTGGCCGCGACAAGCAAGACCTGGAGCCCTCACAGCTTCTTGAAATCTACGAACACTTACCCCCCGATAAGCAAGACTTGGAACCACTCCACATACTCAGCCTTTAAGAGTTTAAGGGGGTTTCAAATTCAGGGATACATATATTTGCTTCTTGAAACTTCGAACACTTACCCCCCGATAAGCAAGACTTGGAACCTGCAGACAACAACAAACAGGTCTGTCGCAAAACCCCGGCCATTGATACATACCCTCCGAAACGGGGTATGTCGCGTGTGCGGGCCGCGGCCCTGTTACAAGCAATGAATATTGGCACGCGGCCATATAAGTTTTCTCAGCGCATGGAAGCTTTTGACAACCCTAAGCTCCCCCAAACCCGAAACCCTAAGCCTCTAAACCTCAGCATGTCGTATCTTCACGTGCCTTCACCTCCGGCGAGGAGTTTGGCTCACCGAGGTCCAAGAGGTCTGCCATCACTATCCTGGGTTTAGGGTTCTGGGTGATGCGCAGCACACTGCTCTGGACGGTAACCCCACCATCAGACATCCTGCACATTCCTAGGCCCGAAATCCTACGAGTAGAAGCCGATTCAACAAGCGATAACCGGCTGGGGAGATTTTAGGTGCCAACTAAGTGTCTGGCCCCCGTCGCAGACGCCCCAGACCCCCTTGCCCTCCGCTGAGCGCGTTACTGTCAAGAGCCAATTTTGGGACAGATTCGGTCAGATAGGTAGTCCGTAGCAAGTGCCGGATGCATCTGTCGCGGCTGATACGAAAGCTTTGCACTGAAGCTTTCTTGGCATCGCAGGCCTCGTCATCCATGGTCGGTCTGGAGTGAAACTTGCCATGCAAGGCACACCAAGGCTTTACTTCCTCTATGGGGCTTTTGCGCTACGCTTACAGCAGCTTCCCAAGGCTCTTTCGCAGTATCGGGTGCTCCGGGCATCTTGGCGAGAGTTGAGATTTCGATGCACGCCTTTGCGTCACCGAAAGCGGGAAACACGATTCACTTCAGCCCGCTCAAAACACCGGGCTCACAGCCCTCACAAAGGGAGTGCTTTTGTGGTACTGCAGGCGTCACGCAAGCATGTACCTCGAGGCTTTTGAGTTGAGATTCCATGTCTCGTTCGCGGGCCCTGGCCCAGTTCCTGACCAACTCGGGGCTCTCCTACCACACCGACATCCCGACACCCCAAAACTCCCCCAACGGGCCAACCTTCCGGCCGTTGCCCAAACGGCCTCCACGCGAATGATTCAGGGGCTGTGTCTTTGGGGCTCCGGCCTGAAGCACCCTAAACCCTAAATCCCCAAATCATCCTCAATGCCCCAGCACTACAACGCCGGGATCCCGTGCGGTGTGGGCGAGCTCCGCTCACTCGAGCGGTGGCCGCCAGGGGCCAGACAGCCCAGGGATGTGGACGGTTTCCTGTGGTTCGGGGCTGTCGGTGTTAGGGCCGGAAGGCCACTGAGGTTTAGCAAAGACGTGTGCTTTGGGAGCTGCATCGTTGGCACAGACACTGTGTCACCGACCTGAACCCATAACTCAGCCCTGAGTCACCAGCACCTACTTCCAGCTTTGAAGGAGATCTCTTTCGATTTCTGGCAAACAACAATCCATGAAAATGGCCTGGCTGGGCTTAACAAAGCAAGCAAACTAACAGAAAAATCCCTTGATTTATGTGGCCGAGCATCAGCATAGACTTGGCTGTGGAAGTCAGCGGCGGCGACCTGTCAACATGCAGCGGCCCCCTTCGGGGTCTGAAAGCAAGAGGCTGGGATAGGGATCTCTCCATTCTCAGCCTAAACTTTAAGATGTTCCGACTTTGAACTCCAAACCCATCACTTTTGGCTCATTGGAAGTTTAGAGGGTGTGAGACCTTAAGGCACGTCCCTCTATCCAGCCTCATGATCATGTTCGAAGTGCACACGAGGCGAGCATTCCGCTGGACACTGATCGGTGGCCTGAGACTGGCAGCATTCGCTAAAAAAGTTACAAAGGAATACTCACAAAGCGGGCTTTGTTTCGAGAGCTTGAACTTAAATCAGAGCTCTTCGCCCGGCCCCAACTGAGGCAATTTGCCCTTGCTCGCAGACCCTAGCCGGACTGGGGGCGTGACCCGGGCTGGCGCACGTGGTTCTTCCTCCCATCGTACCATATTGGGCTTGGGTCTGTAATTGCTCTTGTATCAGTTTTAACTCATGTGTTGGGCACAGCTAGAGGTCTCCCTCAACGCGTCACCCGTGAGGCCTCAGCACGGCGTCGGCTCCAAGCACAGCATTGGGAGCTGAAGCAGAACGTGCCAAGACGCGGCCCTCCTGAAATTTGGCTCCAGAAGCGGCTTCAAGGCCATAAGTGGCTAAAAGTGACTAAAAGTGGCTGGTGTCCTTCGGGTCCCGGGCTTCAGGGCTGCAAATGAATGAGAATGGCCATGCTCTCGACGTGACATGCTCTCGCTTAAGCATTAACTCCACTGCAGAAATTCGAGCTCGCCTTCTGTTTTCGTATGTCGGCTTTGATGCTTCGCCCACCCCGAAAGTGCAAGACTGCTTGGGGTTTGGGCTTGGGTTTTCGAACCTGGGAAGCCACAAAAGCCTACTGAATCAATGCCGAAAGTACGAATCCCCAATGAAAACAAAACCCTATACCACCCTACAAGTGATTCTAGATCCCAAGCCGTAAACCCTCAACATATACATGACCTTAACGAAAGGCACAAAGCCAGAAATCAATTCTGCCAGCTTCATACCCTAAACCTTACAGTGGAACCCAATCTCGGGATTAACGAAAACTCCTCATCGTCATCATCATCATCACCATCATCATCATCATCATCATCATTGCCATCATCATCATGGCCGGAAACCCAAACCTCAACTCAAAGAGAGAGCCTCCTGGAGCCACATCCAAACCCCTGAGCGGCCTGAAAAGTCTAGCGACCAATACACTGAACCCAACTCCAAGCCCATTCCAAGCCCAGTGGCCATATCTGGCGGCAACGCTTTTTCGAGGTCACCCAGCTCCGCGTCGATCCTCTGACACTTTGTGCTCGGGTTCCAGCTGTTCAAGGAGGACTCTTCTGAATGGCGACCGAGGCTTCTGCTGGTCTTCATGTGAAGTGCTTAGAACTCTCGGGGTCTCTTCGAGTGAGTGTTCTTGGGCATTCTTGGGCTGTCGTTGGGGATTCGGAGCGATCACTCTGCGGGGTTTGGGGATGGGTCCGCGATACACTGTGCGATCCCTCTGCGCGATTCTCCCGGAGATTCCGCAGGATTCTCTGGGGGAGTGGCAAACAAACTTTACACACTCCTGCAATACTCTGCATGGTCTCTGCGGAACTCTCTGGGGGTGTGCTGCGATACAACATAACAACCCCACACCGAGGGTGGAGAAACAAAAGATCAAGATGGATCGCTGTGGACCACACCAGTCTTTTTGAACATGCTTGGGTTTACAGGTGGCAAGGGCTCTGGAATTGGGATCGCGCGGGCATCTTGGCGATGAGCAAGACGATTTAGCGAGGTCAGCGGAGTCTTTACGTTTGAGGCTCATGTTTTTGGAGCTGCACCTCTTCTGGTGCTGCCAGTCACAGATGCCAGCCCGTGAGAGTCCTGACGAGGTGCTGACAGTGCTGCCCCGGATGGCTGTGGGCGTAGGTTCAGGGTTTGCAAGTTCTGGCTCCCGCCTTGATTCTAGACTTTCGAAGACAGTAAACCCGAAACTCCTGAACACGAATTACATTCTGATCCGAAGCGCAACTCTACTGCAAGGCTGTCTCGGCTTTCAAAAAGCAAGTGGCGTTCGTGAGTGGATCCTGAATCTTGGTGACATCTCCACTGGAAGCTTATCGGGTTTGGAAACCTACGCCCTAAACATCCCTGAGTCCTTCACCTTGTCGCAAGCAGGGCGTTGAAGCTTCGACCCTGAAACCAACAACTGGGCCTCTCAGTGCCCTGCAGTGCCCTGCAGTGCCCTGCAGTGCCCTGCAGAGTCCTACAGAGTCCTACAGAGTCCTACAACGCCTGAAACGCCTGAAAGATTCCCCAAAAAGGTCCTTTGGAGAGGAAGCCCTGGCGCTTCAGCTGACGCAGGGAAGAGAGCGAGAAGTTGCGGTTGGCTGTCGCAGCATACTGAGGCCTCAGGAAAGGGGCGGGTGAGTGATTTGAAAGGTTTTCTGAGTAGTTTTGCGTTTGGCGCGAAGGGGCTTCTTACAAAACCCCCCTGCCCAAGGACAACCAGAGACAGAATGAACTGGACAAAGACGGGCGAACGCAAATCAATTGTTGTGGGGGCTCGGTCGCAACAGAAAAAGCCGCCGAAAAGGTTCATGCAAAAAGCTGCTACGAATAACCGGACCATCGTGACACACGATGCGCCGCATTTGACGACTTGTTCTTCACCGCTCAGTGTAGAGCTTGACCTATGATGCTGATTAGTCACCAAGGAAAGGCTACTCCCAGAGCTGAGCCCAGAGCAACTCGCACAGCTCCGCCAGGAAGGTGGCTGCCTCGTCCCCCTGCCAACCCTCCTCCAGAGGTTCTCAAGGTTTGAAGGTCTTGTGCTCGGGGTTAGGGCTTGGGGTTTTGAAGCTCCCCAAGCCTGGTCCGTGCTTATGCTCTGCCCTTGCCTCAAAATTGTGGGAGTTCAGGCCTTATTGCTTGGTGATCGCGCCTTAATGTTTGCCTCTCGATCTGAATGCTCCAGTACATATGGAGTTGAAGGGGGCTTGACAGGTTTCATGCTCTTGCTCCTGCCTGCGTAGGCAAGCAAGGCTTGGCCCCGGACCCTTCTGAAGGGACTTGTCGGTTCGTGTTTGTGGGCTCTTCTGGACGCACATCGGGTCCGTCAGAGGAAGTGCCCTGGAGGGCCTGGAGGCCCCGCTGGAGACCCCGTCTGGAAGTCTGCAGGTCTGGGGTTTTGCAGCGTGCGCACACACCGAGCCCACAGCTATTGCCGATCAAACCTTGGGACTCCAACGCGCCCTCTCCCAATTTTCGGTGCGAACATCACTCAATCCTCAGCGCTTAACCATGAAACCCTGAACCTTAAAGCCCAGACCCAGAAAACGGCGGTGCAGCTCCTAAAGCTGAAGTCTTTGCAATAGATGTGCAGTCTGTACAATATAGATGTCTTAACTTTAGGGAAGTTTTTGGACACCCAAGTCCTTCTGCGCCATGACTGGCTGGCTGCAAGATGCCCCAAAACCAAACCAGGCCCAGACCCAGTCTGCACAAAACCCCAAAGCCCCGAAAGCCTGATCTCCCAGATGCTTGGGCACGCTACATAAAACTCCCAGCCCCCATCGAATCTGATCTTGAGCCGATGTGTAGAAGACAACGGGTAGGTACGCATGCTGTAGCACGAGCAGAACGAGTGCAATTTTCATAAACACCCAAATCACGCTTTCCCTTTCATCTTTGGGCTGCTTCTCTCGTGGATTGTGCGGCGCAATGCGCGGAACTTGACAAGATTCCATGCCATCCCATTCCGGCTCCACGAATGGATCCACTGGGTCTGACAAGCACCAGACGTTGCGGTACAATTCTGCCCTCCGAATTTGGTAGTTCGGGCCCCACAGTGGCGCGCCTTCTTCACGCCTTGCAACAGAGGCTGCCACCCGGCAAGCTGCCCTAATTCGCAGAGACTCGCTACGACACCGCTCCAGCAGAAGCCTTGCACTCCTGAATCCATCATCGAATCAGGAAGCTAGCTGTGTATTGACTTCCACAACTCGATGTACTCACCTTACCCTAAACCGTATACCTCGACGAAACCATATACCCGTACCAACGGAGATTGCAAACATTATTCGGTCTTCTTGTAGAGCTAATAATCTAAGTAATCCCTGCAAGCCCTGAACCCACAGCTACGCAGCTCCACCCTGGTTAATTGGCTGGTACGCAGCCTGATTCTTCCAAGCTGTTTGGTAGTGGCCGCAGGGCGCTGCTGGCCAATTCCAGCAAAAGAAGCGCATGCGCATGAAGGTCCAGATCACGTGAAGCAACAGGAAGACCGCTGGAATTGAGAGCAATACCATCAGGCTCGATCCGTGCTTGATGGCTGTGAGCCACAAGGCATCAAAGGCCCAGCAAGTCACGCCCAGCATCATGGACTGTGATGGCCGCTGCATGATCGTAGGACTCCAGTAGAGGAAGTCACGCGTGGCCTCTCTGGGTGTGACGCTCAGCCAGACTATGGCGCAAGTGGTGTACATCACAGCGTGCGCACAGCCGATCAGAGAAAACCAGCTCAAAGTTACGTGGATGGTGTTGCCTGTGTCGCGACTGGAGTCGGTCTAGGGACAACAGCAATTGTCTTGGGCTTCAAAGATGTTCTTGCCTTGCAAACAGACATAATCTGTTGCTTGGTCAAGCAAAAAGCACTGCTAACATTGGCAAGGCGGCAGGGAACTTGGCTGCAGTCAACCCAATCGGAAGTGTGCACATCATCTTCTTCGATGGCCTGGGGCAGGGGTTCGGGTCGACCCACAACCCGTACCCTGAAAATTCGATAAATATAGCAGGGTGGCCAGGCAAATCTTTGGCACCCAGGTCCTAAGTGCTTTGAACATCCCCACCCCAGAACTTTCGGGATGCTCTGTGGCAGTGTTCTGGGATGGGCAATCTTGGGACTCCAGCGATACTCGATTTCTTGGGTGCTCTGCGGGATTCTCTGGGATGAGCACTCGAACGATACTCTGCTCTAAAAGAGCACCGGAGACTCGGGCGATGAAAATGATTGAGTAACAAAAAGTCAGGATTGTAATGAATTGTTTTGTAATTTTCGTTTAAATGTAGATACCTCATCTACAAAACATGATAATTTATTTTACAATACTAATTTATATAACTCTTCCGATTTTCTTTCTTTAACCTGATTTATTTTTCATAAAACAAATACAATTATGAGATTAATCGTTTTAATCACAATTGTATCATAATCACAGACAGACTGATGGCAATTCGAGGTGTTGAACCTCTCCTCAAACCCCCTCCCTTCGAACTTAGGGACCTTACAGGTAGCCTTATCAAGTCATCATATGCTGAAGCTGGTTTGGTTCATGGCCTGGGACTTGCGAACAGATCACTGTGCCTCAAATCATACATCATGTATCCCACGAAGCTTGCTTCGGTGGCCAACCCCAATCATGTAGGGTTTTGAACTACTTGAGGCTTTTGGGGCATGTTGAGCCCAAGCCTTCGCCGTCCTTTTATGAGTTGCTGGTGCGCGCGTGCTTGTGCCTTGTGGGGTCTTGACCGAAACCTTGGACCTAAGCCTTGCATAGCTCTGCTGTAAGCCTTGGGTGCCTCGCCCGTCTTCTCCATGGTCAATGTCAAGCCTTCGGCAGTCTGTGCTCGCAAGGGGGTTCTCATGCTGCATACGCCACAACATGGTACATGAGAGTACAGGAAAACGATGGAAAGGGTTTGTTCGAACAAGTCGCACTACCTCATCTTGGCTACGGTCAGCGCCCACTTTTTCACCAGGATGGCAAGGTGTCTCTGATTGAAAGTAACTACTCGGCCAGGCTGGCTCGGGGCACGCGTTAAGGTTGAGGGTCTCAGGGCCTCAGGGGCTAGAGCTAAGGGCTTCCGGGCCGGGCCTGCCTGTGCAAAAACGTAGACTTGCTCTCAGGAACTAGCGGGACATTCCTCGCGACGCCGCCTTCGCCTTCGCCTTGCCCTTCGCCTTCGCCTTTCGCGCCAGCCTTGCCAGCAGCGGATTTGAGTGGGTCCGCTGGCGGAGGCCTCTCGAAGAGAGGCGCCCAGCCCGATGCATCCTGGAACTGGAAGGTCTTGTCCAGGAACTTCGCCAAGTTCTGCTGGATCTCGGCCCCAATCCTGCCCCACTCCACGAGGCACAAGGGCCAAGGGCCGTTGCGGCACTTCTGCACCTCATGCGGCAGTGTAGGCTTCCCCGCCTTCGGCTTCCACAGGACGTAGAAGGTGCCACGGCGCATCCGAGAGTGGTGCTGTTTCCACAGGTGGTCGCGGCAACCAATGACCTGAGCACCCGGCAAGTCCTTCACCTCGTCCATGTAGCCGATCAGGAGCTCTAGGGCCGAGGGCTTGTACCACTCGGCGTACGGCAAGCTGCTGGTCGACGTCTGGGCTTGCACGTGAGGCCTGGTGTGTATGCTGGATGCACGGTATGGAGTACTCTGTAGGGCGCCGGTCCTCCATCTGTCCGTGAATCCACTGCTCTTTGGTCCATGCGTCTGGGGTGTACACGTCAACCCGGACGATCCGAAGATCGTCCGGGTTGATGTGTACATCCGGAAAGGACATGTTCAGCACCTCGTTATAGCGAGATCTGGTCTGGTACATAACGTTGTTCGCCGCAAAGTGGAGGCTGCTCTTGCCCAACTTCAGAGCCTGTCTCGAGGAAAAGAGGTGGCACACTCTCAGCCTTGTACTCGGCTCGTCCCAGAGGGCTTCCATGCGCTGCTTGAGCTGGCTGACCAAGAACTGGAAGCTGGGCATGCCACACATCTGCCTCCAGATCTCGGCCAAGCGGCGAGATCGCCACCTGCGCTGCTCGCTGGAGCCCCGCGTACCGAAGCTTGTCAGTTGCTGCTGGAGCTCCTGGAGGTCCACAGGTGGCCGCGGCGTGAGGAGCCGGCCTCAGAGGATTTATGTACGATTTATAAGCTTATAGGGCCGTAGGTCTGCAAAGGCCCGGCTTCGCTTATGCAGGGCTTACAATCGTGGGAGTACTCCCCGACGAATGCCTGCCGGTCCCGTTCTTGGCCGTGAACGCGGACCGTTATACTATTCCCCAACGGCTTGCCCGGGCGTGCGACCAGGATTGGGTTCTCCGAAACCCGGAATCCCAGTCGAACCCTCAGGTGTTCGTACACCACCGGGTCGAGGCCACGCGTCCTGAAAAATTGAGAGGCTCGAAGAAATCTACACCCTAAGCTCACGATGGGCTCATGAAGGCTGAGTAGCCGACTCAAAGCTGAAGGCTGTCACGACGGTGTTTGCTGCCCTGTTGGGGTCCATGCGGGCTTTCTTCAGCTGATTCTTCGAGACCTACAGGGGAATGCAGATGCCAGACAAATTATGATGCGAGACTCCCGATGGGGCCTTCGGAGCCATCTCTGCAAAAGCTGGAGGGGATCAAGATGGCCCCGATGTTGCTAGCGAGCCCTGCTAGGAGCATCTCCGTAAACTCTGGAAGGGCGAGATGGCCCCGATGTTGCTAGCGAGCCCTGCTAGGAGCATCCCCTTAAACTCTGGAATGGCGAGATGGCCCCGATGTTGCTAGCGAGCCCTGCTAGGAGCATCCCCTTAAACTCTGGAAGGGCGAGATGGCCCCGATGTTGCTAGCGAGCCCTGCTAGGAGCATCCCCTTAAACTCTGGAAGGGCGAGATGGCCCCGATGTTGCTAGCTGGCCCTAGAGTCTCCCGATGGCCTCCTCGTACTCCTCCACGGACTTGAACAAGGGCAGCCACTCAGTAGACTTTCTAGGCATGAACTCCCAGAGCTCAGCCGTGGTTAACTCCTGCTTCTCCACGGCTTCGAAGCGCGCCTTGGCCGCCTCGAAGAGGCGCTGGTCCTCCTCCCCGAGCTGATGCGTGACGAAGTTGGTCGAGGAGAAGTGCTTCCATTTGTCTGTGTAGCCGTAGAACAACTCGAACATGTCCATGAATCGGGAGCCCGGCAGTATCGTCGCGCGCCAGATCCCGGCCTTCTCCTCGACGTCCTCCTCCTCCTTCATGGACACCGCGTCTTGGATGGCCATGATTGCCGGCTTCGCTGGGGCCTCCGGTGCCGGGAGGGCCGGCCGCTCCTGCTGCCGCTCCTGCTGCCAGAGCTCGCGCAGCACCCCGGCCTGAGCCTCTGCGCTCGCCCGCTGGACCTTCTCATCCGTCAGCTGCTGTTGCAGGACCAGCTCCTTGGCTGCGTGCTCCTGTTGCCTCTCCTCGGCGAACTTCAGCTGCTCCTCCAGCCGGGCCTCCCTCACCTGACTCTCGCTCAGCTCCCGAAGCAGCTGGCGCGGGTCCACCGTGACCGTCTGCATCAAAGGGCCTGGCAGTGGCATCGCTAAGGACTTGCTCTTCACAGCTGTCTGCTGCTTCGAGTGCACGCTGCCTTCGGGCGACTCGGCAACCAAGGAGCTCCGGCTGGACGGAGGCGGCGAAGGCGAAGGGCCTCCAGTCAGCCGGGCCGGGGCACTCACAGCGGCGAGAGGCTCGGACCCATCTGCACTGCTCTCCTGAGAGTCTCCAGTAGGCGGGCCGCCAAGGACCTCCACCGAGAAGCCGCCCCTGCTCCCTCGGCTGTCTGCCACCCACCGGCCTCCAGTCGTCTCCGCTTGTCCTCCTGAGTCTCCGGGCCCGCCTCCTCTATCGGCCAGCACCTCCTCTCCTCCATGGCCTGCCGCATGGCAGGCGAGGCCCTCTAGTTACAAGCTCTGGCTAGCTACCGCGTGCCAGCAAGCCTGCTTGCTCTAGCTGTTGAATGTTGAGGCATAGCTATTGAGTGTTGAGGCATGTGCGTGTGCTGCAGTGTTCTGACTTGAGCCGCACCTACAAGCAGGAGTCGTCACGGTCAAGTTGTCATCTTGGCTCCATGGTCAAGATCAGGGCGGCCACCACGCCAATTGTAGTAAACACACTCGCCATATTCTCCCGCACCTTCTCCATCTCCTCGTTAGAAGGGAAAAAGGTGCCCCCTATTCATAAACAAAAACGAAACAAACACAACAAGCAAAACAGTTCAAAAAAAAACCGAAGCCATCTGGCCTGAAAGAGGTTTTTGGGTCTGGCCTCCGGGGTTAAGCTAGAACTGGAAGCCAAAAAAAAGAAACTGACTTTTCGAGATGTCTGTCCTCCTCATCCGTGTGTTCCAGGATGTGCTCGAGGACCGTCATGCAGCAAGAGGCACTGTGTCTTTGCTAAAGCTTGTTTAGAGGCACTCGTCTTTGCGAGAGGCCCACTTTGTGCTGCACCTCTACGGGCTCCGGCGTAGGGTTGCGCACCCCCAAGCCAATGTGCTCAGCCACGACAACGAAGGAGCTCCCATGTGCGGTTCGCAACAAGCCTTTTCCCGTCTCCCTGAAGCCTTCAAAGCTTGAACCCTACCTGTAAAAAAGCCCTTGAACCCCTCACATGGTTCTTGGGGCTTCCTGGTTCTCGGGTGTTTATCGGCTTTAGGCCTTTTGTAGGGCTTCCGGGCCTTGTGGTTTGATGGTCTCCTTTCGGTGCTGGGAGAGATCCGCACAGCTTTTCTTCAACCATCCATCCGAAATCGGAGTTCTCCAAGGTGAAACTTGACTTGTGCTGGAACAGCACCTGCTTGAAAGACAAGGAGCTGGAATCTGAAAGCATGACCCCAGAAGCTCGAAAACTAAGCCTGAACCCTGCGATTGAGGGCCCTGAGCTTGGGGAAATTCCTCCGCCTCCTACGTCCTTCTTGGCTGCGCCAAGATCAGCAGCACCCCGCCTGCGCTTGAACGCAAGAAACTTGAACTCTCTCGGAGATTGTGACTATCTTTGGACAGACGTAGATATAGACATACATGGTACCACCTGGCCTGCCCTGTTCTTCACTTGGACCCACCGTGAGCAACGTTGAACCCTGGACTGTTTTTGAGTTCAATTGCTGCAGGAGCCAAGCGGAAGCCTTGCGCAACTTGAGCCACTGAGCCGAACCAAAACCCTAAAACCTGAGCCGAGCAGAGAAACTGCAACTCCAATTTGCCAATTTTTCCCTGAGCCCTGAACGGCCCTAAGCCCATTTCAGTGTGTGCGCCTCAGCACACAGCCATCGCACGATCCTCCTCCTCCACGATTTCATTTTCAAGGGGCCTGACAGCTGCAGCGTCAGACTTTGCGTTCGTGAACCCTGCACCCCCACAGCGCTGAACCTCTAACCTGCACACCCTCTTAACCCTAGACCCTGACGTTAGTTAACGCCTGAACCCTGATCCTCCTTTCCTACTCTTCCACCTTGACGCTTTGAATTTTGACCCCACATCCCTGTCGCTGCACACACATTTTACAGCAGCAACCATGAATCCCATATCCTAAACCCTTCCTATCCGCCGACAAACCAGGCCGAAGATGGGTCCACCCGTCCGAGGCCCTGTTAGGGGTCGGTTCAGAAGCTCCGTTTTTGCAGGACCTTCTCGATTTCCGTCCAGTACGCCGACGACTCTTCCGCAGACCCCTTGAACCACCTGCGGACCTCGAACTGGTCTGTCCTTGTACACCTCGTATGGGCCTCCCATGGACCTTCCTACACAGGCCTGTAGTTCTGTCCAAGGCACTTGAGCTCCACACCCTTACGACAGCATTCAAAACCGCTCGAAGTATGCTTCCCGTTGATGTGCAAGATGTGCCGAGGCAGGCCGCCTTTGCCTTTCTATCACATCCTGTCAGCCCGTCACATCAGGCCCTGAATTTCCCTGAATCCTAACTCAAAAGCCTGGAGGCCTGAAAACCCTTAGAAGGGCTTGGGTCTCAGATGACCCCCACCCTGATTTAAAAAACCCAGGCAAGGCTCCTGAGGAGGCCAGAAAAGCAGTCAGCAAATGCTGCAAAGGAGGTTTGACAGTGCAAGGGGAGGCTACATCCAAGAGACATGTTGAGTAACACCTCAACATTTCAACCTTTGCTTGTGCTGCCAACTGTCCGCAGGGGTTGAACCCGCAATCTGCGCTGGTGCATCACTTGACAGCAGCTGCTAAACCACAGAGAAAATCAAACACTCACTACCAGTCCACGCACGACAGTCAACTCTCCAGCCCACCCCCAACTCTGCAGCTAGCGAGGCTGGCCGTTTCAGCCCGGAAACCAAGACTCATCGATCCTATCTCCCAAGCCCTTAAGACTGAACTACGCAGCCTAACAAGCGGCCCTGCCTGGATGCAGCAGGGGTTGCCTGGGCTGAACACTATGGATCAGAAACGCCCAAAGAGTCGAAGTTTTTCGGGCAGGGCTACACGGGTCTAGGGCTTTAGAATGCAGATTGGATGGCGGGCACTTGTTTGGCATCTGCTGATCCAGGTGTCTGGGCTGTTTATGGCGGTTTTTGAGGCCACAGCTCGGCTTAAATGTGCCTGTGTTGTTGTTGTTGTCTCCGCCATGTACATATGCGATGGCATGTGTGGCTCATGGCGGTAAAATAGGGCGGTCTGGTCTAACGAAGCATCGGAACATGGGGTTGCTGGGTTTGCTCAACATGGCACTAACACCTGACTAAACTTAAGCACATCTGGACCCACAGAAGAGGCATAAAATCCTGCCCCGAACCTGCCACCTAAACTTCGGGTAAACCACCCGCACCTCTGCACCAAGAGGCTGATGCGTTGCAGACGTGGGCCCGGTACTGGTCAAACTCCTGAAAGCTGATGATTCAGGGGCTTCTGGAGGCGTTTTTTTTGGAGCTTCAGTGAAGCTTCAGGCTTGAGCACCGCTTGAGCTGGACAAAAGCCTTCGTTTGCTACTCTCCCCAGCAACCAAATCTTCCCTAAGCCCTGGTCTTGGGATATGGACCAGGCACCATACAACCACAAGGATCCGGCAACTAATGCGGGCTTGCCTGAACAATTCAGCATGCGGCTGGGCGACTCAGAGTCGCCCGGCCCTCAACAGGCCAGCGTGAGAAATCACGAAAAACGACGAAAACAGATGACAGCGGCTCTTCATATAATTCCTCATCTCACGTGTTTCCCATTGTCGTGGGACAGGTGGTGGCGGAATCGGGTGACAAACAGCTCTGGGAAAGTCACTTCTTGTAACCTTACCTCCCCCCCCCCTCCCTTCTCTGCGTCCTCAGGAGTCACATGCAGCTTCCACTCGATGAGCTGGAGAAATTGCCCTTCTAAGATGTTCACCTCGCGGGTCTTGACGCCTCCCACCTGCACGAATCAGAGTCTGAAGCACCAGGCTTGCAGGAAATCTTTTGCATTTAAGGGATGGTTTCCGAGTCAAGGCCCCTGCCTTGGCATAGTAGGCATTGCCTTGGCTGTCAACGTTCCATCCCTAAGCCCTAAGCCCCTAAGCCTTCAAGGCCGACCCCAGCCCCAGAGGTGGAATCGCTGCAGGCTTTGGGCTCCGGAGAGTTCAGGGTTCGGGCTTGCCTGACTTATCTGACTTGTAAGCTTCAAGAGACCCAAGCCTGCACATGGCAGGAAAGTCAAAGGGAAGTGAGCTCCTATTGCGGCAAGAGTCTGTGTGTCCATGCGGACAAAAAACTCCCAAACCCTTACGAGTACATGCCTAGTCAAAAAAACTAGTCCCCGAAACCTAAAGTTCTCCACCGTAACAACCCTCAACCTAAACTGACCTAAACCGCCAAAGCCCAAAGCCTAATAATAACAGCTCCTGGGTGCTGTAATAAACGTCGTCGAAGAATTTCACTGCCAGCATCACGCTGGTAACAAGCAACCTGTCGGGCGCTCTTTCTGCGATCTCAACAAGATGTGCTTCCACAAAGCCCCACAAAATCGCGCCTGTGTATGTTCAGGCTGCATATCGTGAAGTCTGGATGTAACTTCACAATTCTGTCAATGTACACCAAGCACAGCCTTGGCCAGTGGCGAAACAAAGGCGCATACCCTCTCAGACTCTCAGACCCAGCATGAACCTGTCGCATCCTGTCGCATCTGCCGCTGCTCGTCGATGTATTCTGACTAAGTTCAGATTCGAACATTCTCAGTTGGCCCTGAGGTAAACCCCTCTCTCCGGAAGTTTGTACATGGCGCCAGGCTACTTAGCTTTTTGAGATTCAAAGGGCACAGAGCGTAGAGCTGACTTGGGCCGGGGATCGGGGATTCGGAGCTACGGACCCAGCATGGAAATCTCTTGAGGGTTTAAGGGCCAGGAACAGCTCGGGAGGAGGGTTCTGAGGCACTTCACTGGACTTCGAAGCTCAGGGGCTTAGTCGTTCAGGAACCAAGGGTGGGGCAGGAGATCCTGGCTCAGGGCCCAGAGTTCAGGGTTGCAAGGGAAGGATGCTCATGAACTTTCGGAAGCCGCTTGAAGGTTTTACGATCCTCGGCTTTTGACCTGGTGTGCTCAGGTTTGGACTCAAGGCATTGGAGACACGCAAGGGATGTTCAAACTCGGGCTTCTTGGGCTCTGCAACTGCTCCGCATGCAGGCTGAGGCCAGGTGCACAAAGCATTCGCGGCTGCACTGGAAGTACTTGGCAATCCTTGCAGGGCAAAACAATCCAACCTGACCACTAAACTCATTAAACCCTGAACCCAAAATGTTGAACATGCCGGTGACAGCTGCACAGATCGGAGAAATCTTAAAGCCCGAAGCCTTAAAAACATCAAACCCTGAAAGTTGTAACCTTGAAAGCCCTCAACCCTAACTCGCGCGCGCTGAAAATCCAGGAGTCCTGAAGAGGTAATCACGGATTGGCAACTGCGGTGGGCGGACTGAATGGAACTTTGTGACCTGAGCAGCCGCTGTGGTCTGGAAAAGTTTGGTGCTCAAGTGCTCAAGGGGCATGATCCCAGGGCATGATCCCAGGGCCTGAACACCCATGAGCCCTGAATCCTGCCACTTGCAGCTTGCTTGGCGACAGCTTACCTGAAGTCGAGTGGCAGGTTGAAGTTTCAACTTCACTTGTCAGGGCACTGTGGGCATGCTGCCTGGAACCACGCACTGAGCAGCACGTGGGAACCCTGGTGGGTTACAGCTCTTCTTGTCCTGAGGCTCCCCCTACAAGAACTCCTTCCTGGTCCTCTAACCCGAAATTACAACATCCAAAAGCTTCAGTTCAATCCCCATCAACCACTGAGCATCCATGAACGACTTTCTAGATTCCAAGCCCGACAGGTCCGGGATGCAAACCATACAAAACCTCCCCTGCGGTGGGACCGTCCCGTGATGTCCCGTGAACCCTTCTCGGCCGCCAGCTCGCTGCCCTGTGGTTGGTGCTCTCAGAGCAGACAGGTGCGTAAGTACCTGGGCTTACAGGAGCCCCTCCGAGAAAGCTGCGAAAACCTCGAGCTTCGTTCCAATCTCTTGATCTCTTGCTTGTTGGAGCAACTAAACTGAGACTCATTCAACTCGTTGAAAGATGTAGAGCTCATGCCTTTGTTGCAAGTCTTCCAGTTAGTTAGTCTAGAATCAGAGGATCATTTTTTCGCGCAAAACTAAGCAGCCTATTTGCATGAAGGCCACTTGAGCCAAAATGGCAGCCACCGCAGAAGCACCAGTAACGAAGCATGTGCACCCAGGGCTTATATACCAAACTCGACGCATAAAACTATTTGTGTATATATATATATATATACACATACATTGATATTTCCTGCTGGCCCGGCTGCAGGCAAGTGTGTCGTCTTGGCTGCACTGGGACGTGTTTCGACTGCATTGGCCCTGCCCCAGCCGCCCCTTCAGGGCCGGGCATCAGCCAATGCCGAAACGAATCCTGGACCGGCAGTCGCGACCTGTCCGGGGCGCCCGAAAACCTCGAAAGCATCTGAAAGCAGCCAAAGGCAAGATCCTGCTTCATGGCCCTCCCTGAAAAGCCCCAAGGGCACCCAGACTCGCCGGCAGTTTGTAAAGCGTTTTGGTGTTTAGATCTTGGGTTTAAGGCCTTTAGTAAGGATTTCGGGCTTTTAGGGTTTGGAGTTTAGGGTTCACAAGGCGGTTCAAGCCACGTGTAGTACCGCACAAGGTCAGGTGGTGTCAGCAGAGCTGCGCCCGTCCCTAGAAGCCCTAATCCCGGAAACCCTGCAAATAACGGAGGATTCGACGATGGGGCAGGCTCAGGATACATTGCCTGCCGAAAGCCCTCCAGTACGTTGAACACAGACTCACTATACCCCAAACGCCCAAGGTTTGGGGCCTTGGATGGCTTAAACCCGAAGCCTGGCCAAAAAAAAACAAACAGGGCTCGGAAGAAGTGAAACCGGCCTGCTGCCCGGGATCATCATACGGAGGCTCCTCCTCCTGTTCATCTTCCATCGCGCCTGGTCGGAGGCCGGGGCGAATGGCGTTTCGATTCTCTCAGGTTTCGGGTTCACAGCTTTAGCTGGTGACGGCTGTTGCGTTTGCGAGGTTCAGGTTCGTCAGCAGCCCAAAGCAACTTCGAAATGTGTGGAGTTCGGACTTCAGAGTCTCTGGGCAGGGTTTGGTTCTCTAAGCCTTGATGTTTGCAGTGTGATGTGGCTAGAGTCGGGGTCCAGGATTCCGGGCTTGTGTCGAGAGCTGAATCCTCAAGGGATTTGGGGTTTAGGGCAAGGAACCTTCTGCAACCAAAAGCCTGCCATCACAAGCCTCTTTCACAGCCACGACTTCTCGGAGTTATAGCTTTGGGGCTATAAGGGGTTCGAACTTCAGGCTCTGGCCGACTTTTTGACGCAACCCCACGAAAACCCTTAAGAAGAAACCTAAGTGCCTTCAACGTTAACCTTACTGTAAAGCCTTTGAAGTACTTTGAAGCCTTTGCGGATCTTTACGGCCTCTCCAACCTACTCCAGGCCACATTTCCGGGCTTCGGGCCCACGGTAGTGCCGCTCAGCCGGCACAACCTCGTCTCCTTCTCGGCCTCGGGCTTCGGGACGTTGCCGGACTTTTCGGGTCTTTGTGAGTCCTTCATGTCTTTAAGTCTCGAAGGGACACTGACAAGGCGAACAGGAAGGTGTTTTGGGGCTTCGGGTTTGGCAGTTTGGGAAGAAATCGAAGAGGCTGAAGCTTTCGCGCTATGCACACCAGGGCGCAAGCCCTGCTTCAACGGCCCGTGCAAGCCGGCGCACTTTTTGGGTGGTGATGGCCGGTGCATCATCCGTTTGTCGTTTTTCATTGAGATCATGCGGGGGGGGGGGGGGGTGCGTTAGCGTCATTGGCAGGGTCGTCTGAGGGCTGGCGGTAAGGGGATGCGCCCTTTCCCTTGCAGTGAGCATCATGAGAATCCACTGCTACAGGCCTTGGGAGCAGTGTTCCGCCCTTCCTGTCTTCACGTTATCAGGGGGGGGGGGGGGGGGGGCGCACGTGCTTAAAGTTGCCCTCGGCCTCGAAAGTGCAGAATTGTCTGCTTGAGTCTCTACACCTATGTCGCGCGACAACCGACTAGCAGACTAGCAGTGATCATGACCATCATCACCCCAGCTACGGCTACCAATCGGCCTGCTAACCCAAAGCTCCGAGTCACTCGCTGAGGCAAGCGCCCATGTGGCAGCATTAAATGGAAAACCCAAGTGCACTGGTTTTGGGCCAAGCGGCAAGGGGAAAAAGACCATCCCTTTCGGCTTAGGTGTTGAAACGTGTCAGTCTAGGATCGCAGTGGCTTGGGCTTCAGAAGGCCAGGGCCTTTCAGCAAAGCTTGGCTGCGATTCTTGCTGAATTGAATAGATAAAGTTTTGCCTGTGCAGAACTCCGAGCTCATTTTGTCGTTCTGCCAAGATGGGTTCGTCGAACCCGACGTTGTGCCCCAAAGGCCAAAGGAGACTTCAGGCGACTGAATCCCCAATGGTTTTCAAAAGAGCTATCGGGCGTCCATCCTTCGTGGGCCCTCTGAACATGTTGGCATCCTCCACGCTGAAGCACAAATCTCCCCCCATAGGAAGACAAAGCCTTTGTTTGATCAACGACCTGGTTCCAGGTGAAGGAATCAAAACAGATTGCCGAACACAATCACAAAAACTTAACATGGGCTCGCAGATCTTGTCTCTGCGTTTTCGCAGAATGGCAAAAAGTTGTGTCAAACAGGAAGTGGCCTCACGAGGTTTGGAGCAGGGATGGCATCGCCAGTGCCTTCACATCTTCAAATCATGGAACTTTCCTCTCATCTTTCCTCATCTTTCCTCCCAACCTGTTCAGCTCTTTCCAAAACGGCTGGGATGTCCGTGCCAGTCTGGTGGGTGACGCGGTTCTTCCTTTGCCACCGTCGTGACTGCGATCAAAGCGCGCCGGACATCCGGAAATCGCTTGAGCTGTGTGGGTCAAGGTGTAGAGTCAATGTAAAACCCAGGGATACAAGTACGTTGCTTCGGCGGATTGTAGGAAGCCGTTCCACTGTTGCCTTGGTGTGTCTCATCGCCAGCTCAAAGACACATCAAAAGCTTGCTCTGTACAAGCATGTTGTCAGCTCCCACGAGCATAACAACACATCTGCGCAAGCGGTGGCCTCGTTGCCCAAAGCGGGGAGATGTGCTGCAAAAGATGGTCAAACATCAACAATAGTCAAAGCAAGGAACAGGTGTAACTTTACAGGACAAACTTTTCGGACAAACCTGGACTCCAGATTCTACACGGTTTCAGCTTTTTGGGCAAGGAGTGCCATCGGCAAATGATGTGAGCGGAGATGTTCTTGCCACGCTTGCTCAGAGGCTCCTGGGGCACTCTTGGGGGCGGCCCATGAGAGTGCTGTGTGATTCGAGTAGCGCACTCAATGCAAACACACTGTACAGTACGACATCCGAAAGCATCCACATAGCCAGGTCGTCCTCCGTGATGGCATTCAAACATTCTGTGCTTCTCCGCCAAATTTCCATTCAAAGAAAAATGCAACCGAATTCCACATGCACTGCTTGAAAGGACGCGCCATTTATTTAGCATGTAGTATCTTTCCCTGGCCAAAGGCAGAAGAAGTGCTGCATACCAAGTTTGCTTCGGGCGACCGTGTCAAAGGCAGTCACAGCAGATCGCCTGACAGGGAGAGCAAGAGCTCTCTGGCGGGTCGAGACACCAACTGGACCCCCCACCCACACACACATATGCAGGCGCGCGCGCCGGCGCGGGCGCACAGACAATGACAGACACAAAGCTTGTGAGAAACAGCTGAAGCAAGAAAGCCTCGGCAGTCTCAGCAAGTGGCGTCATCTGCTAAGCCCATCTCGACCAACAAACGCTGTCCATGACGCGTCCTCTGCAAGTCGATGGAGGAGGCCTGCCACAATGCAGCCCTCACTCCCTTCTGCTGAAAGAATCTTTGCAGATTCGTGTTTTCGAGACTGCTCAGAAAGGTCCGCCAAGACTCCCGCCGAGAATCCCTGGAGTGCGCAGAAAGTCCCGCCCCGTATCCCTGGAAGAGTCCTGCCAGCTGTCCCTGGAAAGTCCAGCCCCGGAGTCCCAGAGACGCACACAAGTCTCGCCAAATACTAATGCTGGGAGTGCCCACCCCCGGAGAGTCTCACAAAGTCCTGCCGAGCATTCCTTTAGAATCCCCTTCCGCCCCCACCCCACCTCCATACCCCTTAACCACGTCGGTTCCTACAAACGCATGGCAGAGCTGGGAGAGCTGTCGACGTAAAGCCTAACAACCCCACACCGAGAGGAAGGGTTCAGTTGTAGGAAGCTCGCACAAACGCAGCAGAATCATTTCCTTGACCTGGCAGCCCTGGTTAGCCACAAATCCTCAAGCATCAAGTTTCCAAGGCCCTGGACCCCAAAGTACCAGAAGCATGCCTGGATCCTGGATAGCGCTTCTCGCGCATCGACCCGGTCGTCGTGCAGGAGAGACTTTGCCACGTAGCAGCCGAACTGCGACCTTCGGGTTTAAAGACTGAAAAGTTTATCGCATGCTTAGACCCAGGTCTAAACTCCTTAAGTTCTCAAGTTCTTGCAGCAGTGCAGTGGAGTACCTCGGCTTTCAGCCCCCTCGGTGTGCTGTCCTGCGACTGTTGCTACACTGTGAACAAATGTGAACAACTGAAAGCTCGAATTCTATCACCTTCGCATCCTCACGCCCTCCCACACAACATCTGAAGAGGAGGGGTTGAGGATGTTGGGAGCATGGTAAAGTGGTGCTCATGCAGCATTCACCTGGCTCAAAGGCCTTGTAGAGCCTACAACCTGTCGAGGGGCTACAGGCTAAGTAAGCATCACATATTTGATGAGCATCACAAACTCAACAAACTCAACCGCATCTTCCGAAGCCGGGATCCCCGACCCCTGCCTTGCCAGGTCCACGATCACATCCGTCCGGCCCAGCTGCTGAAGAAGGAGTGCCTGATCCTCTTGCAACTCTTACCAGCGAAAAGTGAGAAATTGAGGGACGTTGACAGCGTTGAAATGCTTTGAGAAACTTCCCCAACTTGGAAGTCCTCCGGCGCACAGTACCACATCGCCTTTTCCTCAGGAACAAGCGTGACAACATGGAGTGGTCACAGATGCTTAGGGTTTAGAGACTGGGGTTGCAAAAAGAACGGGTTCTGGTGGGCGCATCAGGGTTAGAGTATGGTCTAGAGCTCCCTACCTTACTATTCCTCGGGTTCTGCCCAGGCACGACTAGGTAGCTGGCGTTGCGGTGCTTGGCGAAACCCAGGAGGTCCCGACCGAGAACTTTGGCGACGATCTTGCGGTGCCTTAGCTGCCACCCTGTAGTGAAAAGCCCAAACCTGAAGATTCGGAGCTCCAAAACTTCATCATCCTTGAATGTTCAGCCGTCAGGCCCTTGGCATGCTAAGGTTTGGGGTAAGGGTTTTGGAGATTGAAAGGGGCATAAAGGGGCTCTAGCTTTGCGCTGAGGGGTCTGGGTACATGCCATGGCTCCTCTCGTGGCCATGCTCCAGGACGGACTGCACGACGTGATGTCCAAAGTTGTGGCGGCACAAGTCCTCACTGGTGACACTAAGTGACACTAAGCTTCACACGTTCTTCCTTAGGCGGGCTTTTGTTGCAGCCTTGCTTGCTGTGGTTCGTGACTACGGTCAGGGTGACGCCAAGTAAAGCAAGCTCGTCCAAGGGGACTTTAGGGCCCAGAGTTTAGGGCCAGCCTCTATCCCTTGGGGCTAGAGCTTAAAGATCTCGAGGTTCGGGGTGTGCTCTGTGTGCGGCCAGGCGTCCTCGGTGTCGAGCAACAATTCGTCCATGAGCTGAAGTGTCAAATCTCCTTTGCTCCCCTAGTGCAACTCAGCTTCCAACGGCTACGCCCTACATGGCTGTTGGAGTACAAAATTCGCTTGAGGTATTCTTTTCTTCTTGCAGCTGCAACCATTGACGAGCACAATCCAAACTCATACAATCAATCCTTACGCCTGAAGCCGCCAAAAGGTGTTGCTGAGTCCCGAGAATGCCCAAAACCAAAAATTCTATGACCTCCGCAGCTGGGGTACGGCTGCTGCAGAACTCCAGGAGCCGACAGAAGATCCGGCAGGCGTACCGGTGCCTTGCAACGCTCAGGGCCTACGGGCCTATAGGTTTTAAGATGCTAAGGCATTTAAGGCTTACAGGAAGCTTTTTAAGATGCTCCAGCGTTGAGGGATTGGTTTGGGCTGACCATCCTAAACCCCCCAAATGCGGAGGCCAAACAGAACCCAAAACCCCCAAGCAAATGCAGTTCCCCGTGATCCAGCTCTGGTGCCGGGCCAGCCGGCCGCAGGAGCCGAAGAGCTCCCTAGCCTCAGAGTGATGCAGGGCTTTAAGCTTTAGATGTTTCATGATGTTTCATGATGTTTCATGATGTCTTATGACGTTTTATGATGCTTTTGTGATGCTTGAGGATTTGAAAGTTAAGGCCCTACAACCCTCGACGGCCGCGCGGCCACAAAGCTGCAGTTGGCAAAGGTCAGCGTGGAGACAACCTCGGGCTTCTTCAAGCTTGAGCAAAGGTTTTTGGCTTCGGGTTTTACATTGCTTGGGGTTCAAGGTGAACTCTGGCCCTACCCCAAGCCCAAGAAGCTTTCTGGATCACGTAGTTCGCATGGGGTGAGATAGCCGCCTCTTGCACCTCAGCCACTCTTGCAAGGCAGAAACAGGCAAAGACACAGGAGGCAGGGAGACGGAGAAAGCAAGAATGCTGAGGGAATTCTGGCAGCCGAACGACAACATCCAATTCAGTTATTGGCCTGATGCCTGTAAGAAGCCTTCCAAGAGCCATTGAGTCAAGGCACATGTCCGTGCAACTCGCGGGAAAGGAGGGCTGCGGTGTACTGATCGGCCTCCAGCGCGAGCTGCACGAGCCGGCAACCCGTTGCATGCTGCGCCAGCTGCCACACGTGACCCTGGATGGTGGCCAGTGCTTCCTGAACTTCGTCAGCGATTCCGCTGGCCAGTTTGGATCTGAGACTGTCGCAGCGATCCAAGATGGAGTCGTATGTGGCCTTTGTGGCCTTCTGGAGGCGGCCGGCTGAAACAGGCACACGCTCGAGCATTGGCAAGGGGTGTGAGCACTCCACCGCCGCAAGGGCGGCTCGCTCTGCGGCGCGCTTGCGCCTCATCCTACGGGCAGCACTGGTGCTGAGTTTCGGCCTCTCCTCGTCGCCTGCCTCTCTCTCAGCATCCGAGTGAGTCTCCGGCGTGGCCGGGACCTTGTTTCGGGGTGTTGCCGGTCCACTGCCTTGACTGCTGTTGTCGCAGCAGACCTGCAGCACCGGCGACACCTGAGGCTGGAAGACCAAGGGAACCTGGAGCTGCTGCATCCCTTGCATCTGCCCCTGTATCTGCGGCTGCTGCACAAATACACACTGCTCCGGCTTGTAAAAGGGAGCTGGCACCGCCTGGTACGAGCCGGGAAAACAGTTCACCTGGTCGGCCGGCACCAATATGCCCACAATAACCTGCTGAGGAAAAGGGGTCTGCATCTCTCCCATGGCCGGGCCCTCACTGGTCATCGTCATTGGGCCCCCCCCCGCCCGAGTTCGGCCAAAAGCCTTTTGATTCCTGCCTCTGCGCTTGAGTAAAAACAGGCTGAGGGCCACCACGCAACCCTGTGCAGCTGCTAAGGGGCTGGATGTGTTTTCAACTGCCGTCGGCTGCAACACTAGAAAATCTCGTCGGCTCGCACCTCCTGGACAAACCCTAAACACCTTGTTGGAAGGAACGTCTCACGAACGTCGAGAACCCGCAATTCGAAAGCACTGAAGTAAAGAAGCCTTTGGACCGCGACAGCAAGCGGGCTCCTTTGTAGCGGACCCGCCGAGGTCTGCAACGGGTGCCGCGGTCAGCCAAAGAGCATGTCAAAGTCGTCCTGACTCGAATCCGAACACGAAAGCCTAAAGCTTAAACCCATGCCTTGAAGGGCTGTTGCGACTCTGGGACAGACAGACACACAAACAAACGGACAGATAGACAGACAGATAGACAGACACAAACAAACAAACAAACAAACAAACAAACAAACAAACAAACAGCCAGCCAGCCAGCCAAGCAACCAAGCAAGCAAACAAATAGAGAGAGAGAGAGAGAGAACATAAACAAGCTTAAAAAACAATAGCGCGGCATCACATGGCATTGCCATCGAAACATCTCACGTTCTGATTTCATTCACCTTCTGCCGCACTGCTCAGGCTTTCCCGGGGCTTTGTTGCAGAGGTATCACCAAACCGCCCTGGGGTGTTTCTCCAGAGCTTCTTTCAATTTGGCGAGAAACATCGAAAAATCGTTCCAGGCCCCGGCCAGACCCCCGAGCTTTCATTCGCCTCGGCCCCGGGCACAGAGGTTCCCTTTTGCACGCCTCATAAAGATGTTCTCGTGCAGTACCCCTTGAAAGCTTTTGGGTTCCCAGGCATGTCTGAGAGCTCAATCAGGTAAGCCAATAGGCCAGAAATAGTGTGAAAACCCCAAGGCCCTCAACCCGCTTCACTTGACAAGCCCACCAAGAAGGTGACCAAAAGCCATTTTCGAGAACCAAAATGTCGCAAGAGCACACTGGAACAAAAGTATTCCCTCCTTGCACGCCGGACTCTCTGCATAGGGCGAGTTTCTAGATTTTCAGGCAAGGCCGAGGCGGTCGACAAGCAGCATGTACGACTTCTGGAAACAATCCCCCGCACACGCACCCACACACAGCACATTAAGCAGCTTCCAGACAGAGTCCAAACAACCACACCACCGTCCGCGTAAACAAGAACTGGCGTAACCCCTTTCCTGCCACAGTTTGCAGCGTGCATCCGGCTTCATGGGGAACATTCATGTCAGTTTCGACAGGTCTGTCACATGCAGTCAGATCTGCAGGTGTTCTCTCCGTGCACATTGATGCATTGAAGGGTGGCATTTGGCATGCCACACGTGCTTCTGTGGGGCAGAGCTCGAAGCGTTGGCGTAGCTGATGCTTGTGGGTCCAGGCGCGACGAGCCCAGGGCAAGTCGGTGAGAGTCACAGAGAAAGACGCCTACACAGAAACCCTCGCCATTTGCTAAAGCCAAAACACAAATTCCCTGAAAATCCAAGCCCATGCACACTCAATCCCTGACTCCCAGTCCCAGCCCCCGCCTGTTTCTTGCCCCCACTGGAACCGCCTGGAGCTGCAGGCGCACTGCCTCAAACAGGGTGAGGAGAAAGCCGGGGGCCTTTGAAGGGTTTTGGAATCTTTTTGTTTAGGCTCCAACTCGCGGCCTCTTCGCGGCTACAACTCACGGCTTCTTCGCGGCTTCGTGCGGCATCAACTCAAACTTGGAACCCAAAGTCCTAACAAACCTAAAGGCATCTGAATGCTGTGAGCCTGAAAATTCCAAGAACAAGCACACCCCTTGTGGCGCCGGGCTCTCCCCAAAAAGGAGGTCTTCTGAGCCGACCGATGCCTGGAAGAAAGGCATGGGCCCCACATGTGTATTCAAGGGCTTGAAAAAGTTCAAAAGCCAGAGGTCTCACAGGAGCGGGGGGGGGAGAATTCCTAGTGAGATTGAAGGTCCCACGTCCATGGTTTCTGATCAGGCGGTTCATGGGGAAGGGCCGTAGACCCTAAACCCCAAATCCACAAAAACTTCATCCCCTGAAGCCCTCAGCCCCAAACCGAAAAAGGTCCGACTCCAAGCTGCGAAACTTTGCCAAAAATCCAAATCGCAAGTAAGCCCTCGAGCACCATGACAACAACAGGGCATGCCATCATTGAGGACCTGACCGCCTGTGGGGATGTGTCCGGCGAGGCCTGCCACCACTCTGCCACCCAAAGCCAGAACCAAGGCTTGGACATGCTTGGACTGTAGGTCACTGCAGCACCGCAAACATGCGAGGGTTGGGGCCTAGGCTTTGAAAGCTTAAGGACCTGGGGAGTCTGGACTTTGAGATGCTTTGAGGATGCAGGGCTGCGAGGAGCCTGAAATGGAAGGCGGGGTGATCAGGGCACGAGGGCATCATGAGTTTTGGGGCGGTATGGTGAGCAAGTTGAGACAAGGGCTTTGGGCTTCGCGCCTTGGTAGCAGTGAGCACTAGCAGTCAGGCTAACACTCAGGCTTGTTCAAACATGCCGAGATGTACGGAGGGCGCGGAAGGGGCGCGGTCGGGCCTCCGAGTGCTCAGAGAGACCAGCTTCAAAGGTTGAGTTGGCTTCTCAACAGCTCGTGAGCAAATCAAGGAAGACAAGGCATGTCTGAAGGAACGAAGCAAACCAACACACTCATGATAATATGCCTTCGTTGGTTTGCTTGAACTGTTCTTTGGTTGCTTTTCCGCTCTTTGGATTCAGAGTTTAAGCTTCGTCTCTGCAAACGAAAAGGCTTGAAGGATCACTTAGCAACACTTCTTCCTGATCACTTAGCCACATCGGATCCGCACCGTTTCGGATCACTTAGCAACGATTTTTCTGGCTCACTTAACAACATTTTGTTTCGGCCCTCGCGATTCCGGTTCATCATATATCTTAAACACACCTCCTCACTTGGTGATTGCGGTTCAGTACGCCCCCTCATTTGGCGATTCCGGCATGTGGTATATCTTGAACACGCCCCCATTCCGGTCCGTCATATATCTTAAACACGCCCGCTCATTTGACGATTCCGGCTCATCATATATCTTAAATGCGCATTTCCTAAACACGCCCCCTCAACTGGCGATGCCGGTTCATCATATGTCTGAAACACGCCCCCTCATTTGGCGATTCCGGTTCATCATTTATCTTAAACTCGCTTTTCTCAACGACCAGCGTGGCATGAGCCAGCCGGACGGTCAATTCCAGGATTTAAGGTATAGGCCTTGAGGCTTAACATTTAGGGTATGACTTAAAGGTTTTAGTTTAGGATTCGTTCTTCGGGCTGCGTGCAGCGAAATCCTAATCATGTGCAGCATCGTATGTTATTTGGGAATATTGGGGCGTGCACCTTTCTTGTGATGTGCGGCGAAAGCGGGCCCGCGCAAAGTGGGATCCTCAGACACGCCCATTCTTGAAAGCAAACACATCTTGAAAATCGACCTTTGCACTATTGCCCAGTTGATGCGCCCTCGTGCTGCCCCAAGCTATCCTCCAAGATGGATTTAGTGGCCTCAAGATAGCTCTTGAAACGGCTTTCTGTTCCTGCACCGCCGTGGCATCCTGCCCAGGCCCCAAAAACACGTTTGCTAAGTGATCCACAAGTGCGTTGATAAGCGATCTCGAAAAAACGTTGCTAAGCGAACCCCCCCACAAAGGCTCGGCTCATACTAAAGCTTCGAGGCTCAGGGATTCCAGATTTAGAAACAGTCTTCGAGGACTTGGCAAATTAGTGCGGGCTGCGTGAGGCTTAAATGCAAGAGCCTGGAGAGTTAGTGCCATTTAGAACGCTGCGGAATGCAAATCCCAGAAAAAAGCGAAGGCGATTTGTGACATTGGACGACGTCCAAGCCTTGCATTTTATGATGGATGTCACCTTGTCAGAGCCACACAAACATCTCGGCCACTTTAACCATGCGCACGCCTCAAAATGTTGCCACACCGTTTGGGGAACAAAGCAAACTCCCAGTTCTAGCCATAGCAACAACGCAAATCCATCCGAATCATACAAAGCAAACCAAGATCTGGTATCTGGTGGAGGTCCTGCAAGCTCCGCCCACCCTACCCAGGCTTCACTTCGCAACACGCACAAGCCCAGCGAACCAAGGCTTCAGGAATCCTGCTACTGACCGCCCCTGTGGGCCGGCCCGGATGCCGGAAGGGGCACGCACAAGCGTTTACAATGAAACCTCAAATGAGTTGCACTTGGCGGGATGTTCAGGATTTTCGGGGTTTTTAGTTGATGCTTGTTGGGGGGGTCCGAAAACCAATCTTCCCAACAGTGCAGTCCTGAGTCCCGCGTAGAAGTGTCCCCCACTAAGAAGGCACAGCTAAGGTGGGGACTTGCCACGCGCTCCACTGCCCCAATTTAGTCTCAGCGCCTCTTGCAGCAAGCGCTTTGAGTTCAAAGGTGGTTTAGGGGGGCTATATCTCAAGCGTGTTTAAATCCCCCAGAGGCCTGAATCCCTGCACCTAATCCTTCGGCTGCCTGACCCGCATGAGAGTGACAACTGAACCTCTCGAATCTCAGGCAGGCCTTGGCGAAGACCTTGTCCTCAAACATAGGCACCTCGGTCTTCTTGAAGTTCAGTGACTCGGGTTAGGAGGTAGTACGGGTGGGTGCAGTAACAACTCTCAGGGCTTCTTGGGTGAGCCGCCTCTGCCACCCTCACCCCGTACCCTTCTCGGGCGTGCGGCCATGGACTCTTCATTCGTCACATCCTCGGAATCCCAGGCTGAGCTTCTTCAATCTCAGGGCTTGAAAGTTAGCAAGGGGCTTGGGCTCTCAAACTTTCAAGGACTTGAACCGTAATCAAAAGATGCGTCTCAGCAATGTTCAAAGGGCGGCGAGCATCCCTTGGTTTGACAGACATATAAACCTGACAACAGCCCTCTGGAAAACCTGAAAAGTATCCTGAAAGAACGCTCTACAGACATTGGGCCACCAGCCATCCAAATGGCCCCGGACCTGGAAGAGACGGATCAGTCAGCTGTAGCAAGAACCTCAACCAATTGGAGGACTCCAAACCCGACACCCGAAACGACCATGGCGGGAAATGTACACTTCGAATAAAAACTTGTCAAAGGCGTGTGGATTGAGCCGCTCCATGACCGAAAGCAAAGCGTTCCAAGGCACGGTTGCAAAAGCCTGCTCAACCACAACTTGAGCAGGCCCGCTTTGCATGGCAACAAAAGTCAGCGGAGAGACCGGAGCACGAAGAGCGCCTGTGGCGGTTGAGCGAAAGAAAAGAGGGACCGCAGCAAGTCGAGCGAACTGGCAGGACGAGGAAGGCTTGTGCAGTCTCTCAGCTCTTTGGAGGCAGGTGCGCTTCGTTCTCACAGAGCCCAGCGAGGCTCAAGAAAGCGCCAGGCATCGCCGGAGGAGGCCATAAACGGGGTGATGGGCAGCCATTGGGAAGGCCGAGCCTTGCCACAGGAGGTCTCATGAGGCCGACTTCGCCGTCCAAAGCCATGCATCCTGAAGGCCCCCTTTAAATCACCCCTATTCGACCGGCCAGTGTGCTCCGAGGATACTCCAAGAGCAGCAAGGGGGAAAAAGAGGAGGACGACAGGGCGAAAGTGAGGTCCCCCGGCTGGATCAGCGACGAGACCAAACAAAGAGGAGCACAGGAGATAAAGACAAAAAGTAGCGGGGAGAGTTGATAACGCTAAACCCGACAACCTCAGCAGTGCAACTTAGTGACTTCGTGACTTAGTGGATGGCAAGCACAGACGTTCAACCCAAAGGTCTAGGCCCCCAAGCTCGAGCCACGCCATAACCAACACCCAAAGCCCATCGGCCGAAATCATGTACAACTGCTGGAAAGGATGTCCTCTGCAATCTGATATGGGCTCCTGGAAACCAAGGCTGCACCCTTCGATTTCTTCGACTCGGTGCGTGACTCCCACTTCATCTTGAAGCGGAAGTGGTACTCTCCTGGAGCTAGATGAGGCTTTTTGTTTGCGAGCTGAGGCAATTTCAGGTCACGCAGTGGGCTTGGAGATCCTTGAAGGTTTAGCCGCCAGGGTTTGAGAGCGTCAGGGCTTCACAACAAGGATCGAGGGCCTCGGCTTCGCAGACACTTAACCACCTGAGCAAATTTGTCGAACCCCAACAGATTGTTTGTCCAGTCTCCTGGTAGCGGGAAGCAAGCCCTAATCTCCTTGAGCTTTGCTCCGGGTCCTGCCAGGGGTTCATCACTTCTTGGGATTCTTGGGACTTCGGGACTTTGGACTTGTGCTGTCAGTTATGCAAAGGAACAGATTTGTGGGATCCGAGGGTCGGTGGGGGAAAGGCAGGTCCCCACAGCCACATCGTGGGACCTTGAGGTTGATGTGGGTGGCACAGGGCAGCCAGCAAGTTAAGGCTTCTTGTGGTACTCGAGGCCTGGTCCAAAAAGAACGCCACAAAGGCCCGAACATCAAAACTGAGCAAATCCTTCATATGAAGTCCTTAAGCCCTTCACCATAACACAAACTCCAAAGGCAGCCTTCATGCCAAACCTCGAAGGTGTTTGGATGCTCCAGCTTGTCGTTGTCGCCTGCACACTGTGCATGCCTCCCTCACCTAGAATCTGCCAAAGGCCTTCTATTCTGGCTTAATCATAGGGGGCCCCCCACCCCCAACACCCCTGCGCCCTTCCCCCCCCACCCGCCCCCCCACCCCTATCTGTATTCCTCGAATGGACGCCAGCCCGCTTGGCAGGCCCGGCCGAGGCAGATCGTGTAACTACAAGATTACCCCTTGACACCGTCCTCCGTCCTAGTCCTGGACCTCCAGTCCCAAATCCAAAAAAGCAGAGGCTTCGCATCTATGAGCCGGCACCCCAAGCATGCATATTGCATAGCTTGTACACTTTGTGCCCTGCATACAGACACAAAAAGCTTGTTCGAAATGTTGAGTCTGTGACTTTTTCCAGAGGGTGAGGATTTACGATTTCCATATCCAGAATGCGCGCGCTCGCACTACGAATCTTGCTAATGCTCTAGAAATCAGAACAATAAGAAGAACGCTATTGGTGCTTACACACATACTGTATGTATATGTTACATGCTTTGTAGTCTGGTGCTCGTTCAAGCTGATGATAATATGCCTTGGTACTCAGAAATTCAAAATCCCAAAGTGCCACAACCAGCGCGGTGAGGGTTTGAGATTTCCATCTCCAAAGGGTGAGGGTTTGACATGCCTTTCAATTCTTCATCTTGATTGCTTAAGTCCAAGTGATTGCAGTGTCATAGAAATAGTATTGCAACATTCACATTTTTATTTCTAATGTGCGTTTCGCTTTATATTTGAGTTGGTACATAGTTGGAAGGAGTTTTGTCACACAACATGTGCTTATGAGCATTCAGGTTACTTATAAGGGGGTGGGAAGGCGGGGGAGGGTGGGGAATGGGCGAGGGGGGTCTTCTCCTCCAAGGATTGAGACCGACAAGACAACATCCGTAGGAACAAACATCACCTTACCCTGCAAACACTCTAGAAATACACCAAACCTCTCCGAAGGGAGGGTAACACCCGTAACAAAATAACACCCGTAGGAATAGCATAAGAAGGTCTGAAAGAATGTGCGGAAATGACTCCTTCCTTTTCCTGAAGTTATAGATTTATAGTCCTCAAGCGACATGGGAGCCTCAAGCAAAATATGAACAAGGTGTCAAGCTTGGCCCTGCGGAAATGGCGCCCTCATTTTCGTTTCAGGTTTACAAATAAGGTTGGCCCTAAACTTAAAAGGAATAAGGTTAAAGAATAACGTCTGGCCTAAATTCGAAATTAATTTGCGGAAATGATTCCCTTCGTGAACCCTAAACCCTAAACCCAAAAACCCTTAAGCCCTAAGCTTTAAGCCGAAAGAGCAACAAACACATTGTTGTCTTCATTAAATGTTGAACAAAAGGGCCTGGCCCTAAACCTTAAGCAAAAATGGAGCCGTAAGCAAAACAAGAAAAATCGGGTAGAAGGTTTGGCCGTAGCACTTAAACGAATCTGCGGAAGTAGCGCCCTCATTTTCATGTCAGGTTTATACATAAGGTTTGGCCCTAAACCTCACAGGAAAAAGGTTTAGGAAGAAGGTTTGGCCCTAAATGGCCTAAACCTTAGCATAGTGGGACTAATTGAGGTCCCACCTTCCCCCCCACTGCTTATGCCCTCAAGGTCCCTCCGCCCTGCATATAAGCAATAGTGCCCTCCTTTTCTTCCTAAACCTTTTTCGAGAAATCTTACACAATAATCGAAACATACAGCGAATAGTATATCATAGGTAAAAGGAATGTGAACAGAGATTCATAAACCACATTGATTTAAAGAATCAGGATTAGCAATTGGAGTCTACACTCCCGAATTCCAAGATGTAAGGAGCCCATCCCACCATCCAAAAATCCAAAAAGTTTTGGGATATTCCACAGCTTGTGCACGTTTCGTGCCCTGTCATACCTCATCTCCACAATTCCAAGTTCTGGGGCCGGCATTCCATATCTCAAGATCCCAAACCGTAAGGGGCCCAACCTCAAGTCCTGGGAAGCAGCATTCCATATTCTAGGACTTCCAGGAGCCCTACATACCGTATTCTACGCACCACATTCACAATGAAAAACTCGACTAAATCGCTTCAGGTTTCAAGTATTGGCGGGAAGTCGTTCACAAAAGCGAGCCTTTCTTCGTAAGAAGCGGCATCTTTTCTGGGGGGCTTCTCCATGCGAAAATTTCAAGGGTTGTGGTCTGTTTTGTATTTGTTGTAGTCTTATTTCAAGTGCTCTTCTTTTCATGTTGTCTTTACGTGGGGAAGTCTTTCTTCATTTAGTGTAGAACTCAGGGTGTGCTATTCTCGTTTTGCCTCTACCTGGGTGGCTGAGAGCTGCCACCGCAGGGAGGTTTCAGGATTTGGGAAAAGGCCATTGGTCACGAAATCCTCCCCCCTTTTGCCCCTCCCCCAGGCCACTACTTTTCAAAGAAGTTGTTAATTACGTCTGCGCTTGCACAAATGACGACAAAAAAACAAAGCATAGGTCTTCTTGCTCCTTGTTCAGGGCGTATGGGTGGCGAACATAGTGTGAGGCAAGCTCATGCACTGGGCCTGGGATCCAGTAGTAGACGAAAGCACGAACCATAGCTTCGAAGAAACCTCTCTTTGGTGCCGTGTGTCATTCTGCGCACTGAGCTGGTACATTGCTGCATTGCTGGGCTGGTACATTGCTGGGCTGCGGCTGCTTGATGATTAGACTCGAGTTTCTCGGTGGGCGCCAGTGTGCTGTTAAGCTGCTAAGCTGTCTTTCATAGCTGCGGCGGCTGGCGGCTAGCAACTACTGCGAATACGCTACGTTCACATGAGCTCACCAGAAGCTTGATTTAGCCCTATTCTTCCTGGAAGCCCAGTACCTAACCAACACGACGCAAATTTCACCAAAAAACACAGACCAGAACAGTGCCTCACATCGTACAACATTAAGATTTGTACAACTTGTACATGAGTCCGTCTTTTATTGGCACACAACGTGTGCCAAGAAATGCTAAGGAGCACAAAGATGAGCAGGGGCAACCTAAACAGGCGTTTTCACAAGTGTGAACAGCTTTCAGATCAGGGTCTTTCGGTCTAGGCGAAAGCGCTGGTAGGCCTCGGGCACCGTGAAGGGTGAACCGGTCACCAAACAAGCAGCCATCTCGCCGATCGCAGGGCCAAACTTGAAGCCCTCGCCTGCAAAGCCACCGACGATAATGATGTCACAGTCTTCAGGGTGCACCCCCACCACGAAATCCTGGCGCCAGTGTGGTTTGGGAGCATCGCGACTGTGAAAAGATAGCTCATTCGCCAGAGTAAGCAAATGGTTCAAGTGTAGACACACCTTTCCAGAACTAGAATGTGAACACGCCCCAATGATTCCAATGACCCGAAGCAGCCTAAGCAGGCCAGAGCTGCCCATCACACAGCTGAGGGTTCGGGATTTTCAGGGTCACCGTCTCCAAACGAGGACTGAAACCAAACCCAAAACCACCGCCATCTGAAAGCTCGCCCAAAATACCAAGCATCCTGTAAGCCACATCTCAATTGGCCTCAATCGTAGGTCGTAAGACTTGTCACAAAACAGACTTGGTGCTGCCTGTAAGAGGCCGTGCGCTTGAACACATTTTTTGGGCTGCATTGGGCACATTGTGCGCGCGAAACCGGGGAAAAAGTACATGTCCCTGCAGGTGCAGCATTGCAGGTGTCGAAAACATCGAAGGCTGTGGAGATTTTTCACGAAAAAGCCTTTTCGAATGAGATTTTGTCACTTTCATTTTAAATTTCAATATGCACCGAAATTTAGGTAAATGAGAAAACGTAGCTGAATTAAGGATTCTGCATTGGGAGACTATGCCAGAAAACAATCACACCGGCGTCTGTAAGCATGCTTTCAAGCAACAATGCAAACCCAACACAGAACGATAAGCTCCCTTACAAAAAACATGACGACATGATCCTGAGGTCATGGGGAATGTTGGGGCTTAAGGACACCAAGGAGAAATAAGCTGCAAGGTCGGCTGTTCGGAGGTTGTTTCTCCTGCGCTGCAGCAGGTCCTCCATTTTTCTTGAGAAATTTGCTCAGCCGTCCACTCCTCACCGAGACAGCAGCAACTCCGAACTTCCATGGGCCAAGTAGTGATCCCTTCATTTCAGCTCCTTTAAACAAAAATGGAGCTGAAATTAAGGACTTTTGCAGCTGGCATCAGGACTTGTGGCCGTGCAACCCAGTTCTTAATTTCAGCTTCAGTTTTTATGTAAACAAACGGAACTGAAGTTAAGGAATTTGGCAGTCACAAAAAATCTCCAATCCATGAACTCCATAATTTTGGGCCGACATTCGGCACGCCACAACAAGTCGGCCTGCCGCATTTTGAGTAAAAAACTTTGGTTTTTCCTGGAATCCATACGAAAAACGGCATGCCCAATTCCTGAATTTCAGTGCCGATTTTCTATAGAACAATGAAACTGGAATTGAGAACTGGGCTGCATGGCCATTTGTACAAAAGAACGGAACTGAAATTGAGGAATTTGGCTTCCTTAATTTCAGCGGGCCAAGTGGTGATTCCTAAATTTCAGTTCCGCTTTTTTTATAGAGCTTTATTTTCCAAACAAAATGTTTCAAATGAAGAAACACACTTGGACACTTGACCTACAAGACTTCTATTTCAAGGCCCTGTTTGATCCCACATGTCCCATGCACAGAACTACAGCTCACGATGCACAGACTGCACTGACATGCACTCTCACACTCTGCTACAACTGAAGAACACGCACCGATGTCTTTTCCAAGGAAGGGGATTTGCCAAGTCTGCTTCCATCTCAGATCTGTCCTTTGCAGGCATGTGAGAAACGAGATCTCCCCAGAAAAACTTTCCCGGCCCTCTCCGCGAAGGTTGTGACCGAGAGGGCTGTGGCCTCTCTTTGTCTGAGCCGAAAAACTTTCTCATTCGGAGAATTCGAAAATTTTTCTCCGGAAAATAAAGGTCTGTACTTGCAGCACGATAACCGAAATTAAAGACTTTGCAGCTGGCGTCAGGAATTGTGGCCATGCAGCGCAGGTCTGATTTTCTGTTTCATTTAAAAAACAAGCGGAGCTGAAATTAAGGAAACTGGCAGGTCTTCTTGGCAGATGACTTTCGCGGTTGGCTGCCATTGGCTGGCTGCAACAAGCCCTCACCACACCATAAAATTGTGTTCTGACGCTGCAATTTTTCCTACACGTCTGAAGCATTCAGTCGCAAAGACTTGCTGATGACAAGAAAACATATCAAAGCAAAAGATAACAAAAGCAAATCTGACATTGCCCTGCGTTCTCGGCAGGCGGCTTGCACAGGTTTTTCAAAGGCTGCTGTCAAGTTTTTTAAGTTACATCATCGAATCATTGATATCAATCGAAAATCTGAAATCTCTCTGCACACGAGCTGAAAATCACCCCCCCGTTTGACTGAACCTTAACTTCAGCCCCGTTTTTCTTGCAGCGAATATTGAAATTTCACACTTGTTTCTTACGGGATCTATTTTGGAAGTGTCACACAGGCACCCACCCACCCACACCAACTCGTCTGCCCGCCCACCCACCCACGCACGCACGCACGCATGCAAGCACCCCCACGCACCCACACGCACCCACACGCACCCACACGCACCCACACGCACCCACACGCACCCACGCGCACCCACGCGCACCCACGCGCGCCCACGCACACCGACGCACACCCACGCACCCACGCTCCCACCCACGCACCCGTGCACCATCGTGCACCCGCGCACCCACCCACGCACCCAAAATAAGCCAAAGCAATGCTCCTAAACGCACAGCCTCTTACAGGCGCCGTCTCCTTAAACTTCGTGCCCCAAGCAGGCGGAGGGATACATCTTTCAACGGCGTTCAGGAACTGCATAACTCTAGCCACGTGCCTGTAAAGAGATGTTGGGGAAGCCCTTACAATTCCTCGCTACAGCCCTTGAACTGAACTGTTTGAAAAGCAAATACTGCCGATTCAGCCTCATCCGCATAGAGCTGCTGGTCATACGGGCAGCGCATGGTCAACGCAGGGGGTGCTGAGGAGTCCAACCTGTTTGCGGATCGGGAAAGTTGCTTGCAAGAACCTCGTCATCGGAAGTCTTTGAGACTAGACAAATCTGACACGGAGCTGCTGCAAGGGTCCAAGAATCAATCCACCTGTTGGTGCACCACATGCGCCATCAAGCAAAGACCCACAAACCCCGGCATCTGAACTTCAACCTCTGAGATGCCAAAACCCTGAACCCATCGGAACCCCAACTTTACGAACAGCCACCCAGGAAGGATCCGCTTGCAGAAGGCATCTGTCTCCGTTCGCAGGTGGGCATCCTCACCCTCCGGCCACCTGCACCGCTCTGGAGATGTCTGGAGATACATGGAAGGTGTTGTGTTCATGCTTACCCTATTGCACGCTTGTGCATTCCGATAAGCTCAAAAACTAGCAAGAACGCTGCCTGACAGCGAGCACTACATAGAGCAGCTAAGGATACGGACACTTGGCTTTTGGGCTGTGTTCACCTGGGCATGTTTGCCAAACCGTGGTCTATCAATTGGCTCAACTAAGGGCTTCGCATGAAAAAATGGGAAACCTTAAACGGGCCATGACAATGATCCAAAGACCTGCCCACCTGCACAAAAGAAGGGCTTCAGGATACACAGTAATCTCAAACTGCCTGCTGCACCAAACATCCCTTCCACGGGTCGCAGAGCAGGAGAAGTACTTCGCACTGGCCGCGGCAGAACCAGGTGCCATTGGAAAATCCTGCTGGCTTCGTCATTTTCGGAACAGGGATTCGGGGTGTGGGTTGCATAAGTTTGTAACATTCATAACAGTGGCTGAGGGTGGCAGTTGAAAGTGCTGAGTGCAGTCGACTCGGCCGGATGATCTCTCGCCACTTGGGTCTCTCCGTTATTTCTTTGCCGCGGCCTCTAGTCAAGCTTGTGGTCTGTCTTGTCTTCGACGCCTCCACTTGCGTCAAACATTCTGCCCGCCCTCCCTCTGCGCAGTGGGCTTGAGCCCCGCCTGTTTCATTCATCCGTCGCCTTTCGTTTGTGCATCGACAAGCACGAGTCCTGATGACAGTTATGTACAGAACCAAAAAGGCTCCTCGTTGTCCAACAAAGGTCCCTGGCGATGCATGCCAAACTTCACACCGTCGACCTTGAGGCGGGGAATACCATGGAGCGCAATGGAATACCAATGGATTATGAACGGGATGCCAGTTGTCAGGCACTGAGGCTCAGGCTCCATTGCTCAGGTGCGGGATCATGTAGCCACCCCGGCGCTTCATCTGAGGTTCCGGGGATGGGTTGTGCTCAACGATGACGGGCAAGTGGCTGAAGCTGTAGAGCTCTTCCTTGCCTCAGAGCTGAAGGCTTAAGTTTCAGATGGTTCCAGGTATCATGTTCCAATTACTTCTGGATACTTATGGCACATATGAACCCCAGCTCGGATGCCTTCCGGAATGGAATAGTAAGTCTGCTGCTCGATGCTAGCGACCAAGGGCAACAGAGGAAGCGACATCTTCTGCAACGTGCAATTAGTCCAGATCCCTGTCGCGACAACCAACTTGGAATACGGAATGACGGAACCGTCGGCAGTTGTGACCGTCTTCTTTTGCCGATCAATGCACACCACAGGCTCATCAACCATCGCCGTTGCGCCTGCATGTGTTTGGACCTGATCCTGCAAGCAAGCAAGCAAACAAACAAAAACGAAACAAACAAGTTGTCATTTCAAGCACTACTACCCCGGCATTTTGCTACGCTTGCCGTCCGCTGCAGGAAGTTCCAAAAAGAACGGGACCTGCGGTAGCTAGATACAAGGAATCGTAACCACATACGGAGCCCATCCTTGAGGGACTCCACCACCACCCCAGCACAAACTGCATCGCCAAGTGGGCAATACACAGACGCCTGAACGGGCAGGTTTGTTTTGAACACGGGCCAAAACAAGGCGGCACTGTGGGGTTTGCCTTCTACGGTGCCATTTCAGATTGTTTGGCATACATATGGGGAATTTGTTCAGTAATTGTCCCGACCTCAACATACTGTGAGGATAGCTGCAGCATCGGCCAGCGTTGTCGCACTTCACTGTGTGTCAGTCGCTGGTAAGGCTGAGCAAGGCGGTCATAAGTCTCCGCAAGCTTGTCGAGGCCTCACTGTCTGCAGCTTGCCTTCTCCCAACGACCACCTGTGTATTGCTACGTGCCGACATGCCAAAACACCTCTCCATGCATGCAAGAAAGGCACTCTCTCGCTTGAAACCGACATCAAGGCAGCCCGTTTTGTACATCAGCGGCTCTGCAGATACCTTGCTCAGCTCGCCGTACAACTCGTATGATCGCCGTGCCAACTTCACCAACACGTCATCGGCATAGCTAACACGTGCAATTCGAGATTCCCCCCAACTGCCTTTTTCAGCATGGCCACCATCGCAAACGACCACCTGGGCAGCATCACTTGTACTTTGCCCACGAACGCAAGAAAACAAAATGCCAGCAACCAACAACTCTTTTCAAAAAACCATCCTTGAAGGACCTACAATTGAGAAGCAGCCCTGGGCCTGCTCACCTGAACGTGACAAGCTCCACGCGGTGGACAATCCCATCACGCCAGCTCCGAGGATAACCACGCGGGGCGGACTGTGCTCGCAATGGCTCCACCTGACTGATCACACATCTTGGTTTTTTGCTAACACCAGCCGCAAGCTGGACCATTGGATAACAGCACCGGAACCTTGACAAAACACCTGCTCTCCCTTGGAACTAAACGTGATTTCAATTACCTTCCGCTGGGCTTGCCTGCGATGCTGCAACGTGCAAAGCAAGCCAGTGCCCCCAGCCAGCATTAGCCGTGGCATGGCCATCGCCATTGCGCAACACAGTGAAAACGCTACTTTGACCAGTGCCTTGGCAAGGCTTATGGACAATCAAAAACACTGAGAACATTCTCTTTACTATTGCATGCAAGAAAACATCATGACAAGTCGTTGGGCCTTTCTTCACAAAACAACTCCTACCCTCCCACATTCTTCGATCGTAGCTTGTGTTGCGACGTAAATGAGATACAACATCTGGCCACCGCTGGCAGAGGCAGGCAAAACGTCCTCAAGGATGCAAAAAACGCTACTCTGAAAAACCTATCAGACTCGCAGAGCAAAAAAAAACCTGCAGTCACCAACACACCAAGCGAAAGCAAAGGACAAGAAAGCAGCCACCTTTCCTAGCGCACCAAAAAAAATCGATTTACTTCGTCCATCCTTAGTTGCCTCAGCTTACCGGATGTGGGGCCATCTATTGCCGTTTACGGACACGTGCTTACGAATACTCTTCGCTGCAAGCTTCTGTTGCGTGACTCTCTGCGGAGTTTCTGGGGCAGGGGGTTGGCAGTGAGGGATATTGGGCGGGACTGGACATTTCATGGATACTCGGCAGGAGGTTTTGTGGGCTTTTCTGAGGATAGCGTTTTTGGGACTCTCTTTGCGAGCGTCTTTGGTGGTGGGCATTTTAGGATTCTCGGCGGGACACTTGGTGGGCGGCGCCTTGGCAGAACTCTCGACAAGAGAAGCGGACGAGGCCACGAGACCGGGTGCGATGCCGCCAAAAACCGGGAACTGTTGATTCACATCAAACCCTCCAGAACGGTTGATCGAAGTCTAACACCGGCATAGGGCTGAAGCACGACCGCTTTCGAGTCTCGAAGATTCTGAAGCACCTTGCCAACCACCAGCTCCTTCTTAGAAGCATCGGGTTTGTACAGCACCAGGCTCCAGCAATCATAGCACCAAATCGAGATCCGTGTTGTCGACAAAAACACGAGCTGGAACACAAACCAACTCTGCCAAGGGGATATTGGAAATCAAAGTCCAATCCTCACCACGAAGCTTGGCTCGCTGCCCTTGAACCGCACGGAATTCATATGGGCCCACACTGCGAGGCTGGAACTTACCACCAAGACGCATGGCGGTCGAATGTTACACCGACTCCGATTGGGCCGGGGACCGCACGACTTAAGTCCACAAGTGCAATGGCGATTTTCGTGATCTCCCTTAGTTCTTGTGAGGCAGAGTACACCGCAATGGTGGGGGGATCTGCTGACATGCTCTAGTTGGGGGCAGCCGTGGAGTTCCTGTCTAACACTCAGCCTTCCTTGCGATTCTTCCAGTGCCCGTCAGAACTGGCAGCCCGCCGTGGGTGTGGCAAGACTCGCCACTTGCAGCTGAAGTTGTTGTGGCTCCAAGAGAAGCTTGCTGCTGGAGCGTTTCAGCTACACCTGGTTCCCACCAAGAACAACCTGTCTGGCTTGCAAACCAAGTCATTAAAAGCTGAGCGCCAGCAATTTCTCCTCCGCCGAAGCCCAAGCGGGATGTCGAGCATCCTGAGGGCGTTGCTTGCTGCGATCGAGTCAGCAGAGTCTGTTGGCGCCTTGGGCCTGGCTACCTGTGACAGAGCAGACTCTGTGTTGCCTGGATTTTTCCTGGTTTATGGCGTGGAGCAATGTGAAAGGGTGTATCTTGATTGCAGCTTGTTTCAGCGTGTTGACAGCACAGGAATGCGACACCGAGCAGCCCGCGTACGCAGACCAAATCGTGCAGCAAGGGTTTAGGATAGGATGGGTATTTAGTCTAGAGGTTGATTGGTGCCACCGCTGGATTACACCAGTGCCTGGGGGTTGTCGGTTAGTGGGTTGGCTGTAGGGTTGTCAGCCTTGGTGGTTTTGGCCGTAGGGTTATCGGCCATAGGTAGTTGCCCCTGACCAACAGCAGTCAGCGACACGCGCTCCAACCGTGCTCGAGCGTCCTTCTTGCAACAACCCTGAGACTTCCGAGGAAGAATACCTGTCTTGCGATGACACTTCAGATGAGGATCGCGACCCGAGTGAAACAGCAGAGTCTGACCGACCTGTGTCAGCACAGTCAGATGATGGTTGGCAGTGGCAGGAGTACCTGGACTGGCAGCTAATCTTGATTCAGAGGAGTATCGACAGATTCATGCTGTGTCAGAGCCCGATTCCGAACTAGCCATGCGTGATGCCATGCTTGATGTCGTGCCTGATGATGGGGCGACTGCTGTGCCAAGTGCTGGACCTGCAGAGCCTGCAGGACCACTTGTGTACCTGGCCCGACCTCGTGGAAGGGAGCTGCATGTTCATCCCGATTGTCCTGCCTTGCACAACTCGAGGACAGTCATCACATGCACGCTTGCAGAAGCCCAACAGCAGTTCCCTTTTTATGCATGGTGTCAGCATTGCACTTGAGTGAATCCGCGTGACGAAGTTTAGCGTCCTGTTGCCATTCGCCCAAAGCTTAACATGGAATCTTGTAAAAACAACTTGCGTGCAGCCTGCCCTCCCTTGGTCAGTGACACTTGAGCTTTGCAATACCTTTATTGCCCGACCTTTGTGTGATACCCCGAGGGTGATTCGAAGCAGCCGAGGCTTGTGCACCATAGTGCGTTGCTTGCCAGACCTGCCAGAGCCCACAATCCAGTAGGGATTGCAGTTTTTTGAATTTGCCGTGTTTGACATGCGTGGATCCTACCTGATTGGACTTTTGGGGATATATGCGATGCAAGTTATCCAACACCATGCTTCAGATGTGCGCCATGCTCATCCGGGCCACACGCACAAGGCGTGCTCCAAGTGCCGGCCTTGGCACACGTAGGTCAAATGTAGGTAGTGAAGCTTCACTCGACGATTTGGACTGAGGTGCGTCCTCGCAAGGCATAGCAGACAAGACCGAGACAGAGCGTGTCAGTATGGATGTGGCGACATTTTAACTAGTTTGTGTTGTTCCCACTCTCCCAAATTTCAAGTCAGAAGTACGCCCAAAGCCTTGTCTCATGTTTTCCGGTGGATGTTTTTGGAGGGCATTCGAAGTGCATTGGCGCAAAAACCGAAGAAGTGCAGCCGAAGTTTTGGAGCTACGACTGCTCATGCAAATCTTGGTGCACTTGGCGGGGTGCTTAGGATTTTGGGGTCTGGAAGGGGAGTGGATGGGATGTGGAGATGGGGGTGGTGGAGTGATGATCTCTCACGCCTCAAACATGTATTTCAAGTCATGTACAGATTTTGCTAAGTCGCCACCTAAGTCCATGCTGGCATGTGCAGAACATTTGCAGGCGCTTTGTTCGAGTGAAAAGTCTTCAAGGACTGTATGATCGTGGCCATGTGCGACGAGATTGGGTGACTGGAGAACAGGTGTGGCGACACCCCAAGGTCTCGCTCTGCATCTGGGCTTCTCGCCCGGACACCTATGCCTCGGTCGGACCTGACCATTGCCAGCGTCCACGAAACTGTCGTTTTCAAGTACCGAATAAGGTGTCGAAGAGCCGTCCAACAGGCCTGTGTTGGCCCCGAAAGTTATTGGCTTAGCACCTTTTATCCCGTACTGGCACTCAAGGACTTCACACCAGATATAGAGCAATATCCCCATTGCAGTGCGATATCTTGCGTGAGCATCAGGGCTCAGGCTCGGCGACTCCTCCAGGTCGGGAATCTGCAAGGGCATCGGTGTGTTCTTGCCAACATGCCCATGCTTCACACCTGTGATCTCCATGCGTCGCGCAAGATGCTTCGGGTGGCTCCTGATCACCAAGGTGTTGTCGGCACTCAAAAAGTGCTCGCGTTTCAAGAAGCTGATGCTATCGCCGGCGCACAAGAAATCGGTCAGGCGTCTCAGGCCTTCATGCTCCCCTTCAGCAAGCAAGTCGTCAACGTGCGTCAATGCAGCACCCGGGCCGTCACGCAATCGGAACAGTGCTGGGCAGGCATCCCAGTCAGTGCAGCAGCAAACACTTCATACCAACGGGCACTCCCTTCGCGTTGTTGCCCCGGCAAAAGCCTTTGTAGCGGATAGCTTTGGCCACACAAAGACAGCCAAACATCTGCGGTCTGCGAAACGCACAGATAAGAGTCGCTCTCCCTACCAACAACAGCACTCACTCGTCACTGCTAGCAGCTACCTGCGATCTGACCCCTTTGCCTTTGTACCCGACAGAACGCGATTTCATCCGGAACACACCCATGGGACCACTCCTTGCTGGAACTGGCTTTGGCCTTTGCCTGGGCTGTGCGGGGCTTGGCCTTCGGCTTTCCCTTTGGATCTTTGCCACACTTCGATGACTTCGCTGGCTCCTTCTTCATAGGGCACTTCCGGATGGCAGACACGCCAACACGGCAAATTAAGTGGGTGATCAGAAGGATTGAAGCCAATGTTCTCTCCAAGGCACCAAGGTGTGACAATTGGCACACGGACATAGGCATTATCCCGCTCCACTGTCCATCGCTTGTTCTGAACATCACGGGCCCATGCGTGACCGGCTGTTCTTGTGCGTCATTCTTGTTGTGCAAACGCGTTCCAGGGGAAGGGGGATTACGGTACGCCCTGCCCGCAAGAAACGCGCAGCTGGGGGCACGTTGAGTTGTATATCCAGGAGGGTAGCTTTGCGGGAGTCTCGGCCTTCCTCCTGTTTATCGCACCCCGGCGATCCCACCACCACAGGTAGGGCAGCCGCTCTACTCGGAGGCGAATTTCTATGGGCGTGATAGCCCAAAAGCAGCCCAGCCAACCAGTAGTCCGGGTCACAGTAACAGGCCATACCGGGGAAAGCGGCGCTTTGAACCCCCGCGACATCGTGGATAGCAAAGAAGAGGTCAGCAATGTGCTGAGCGGAGGTTAGAAAGCCATAGCCAATGATGCTCGAGCGCAATGCCCTGGCAGCTTGGAAGCGTGTGCAGCGGGAACTTCTCCAGGCTGGCGGCCAGGCGCGCGCAGAAGTTGATTCGGGCGTATGGACAAGGAGATACGAGGAAGAGCAGCTGATTGGCGATCCTGAACAGTTGCTCCGGGTTCGACAAAAGTTGCGGCATGTC